GAGGCACAGGGGAAAGGAAAGAAGGGAAAGGAAAAAATGCTGAGAAATGGAAAAAATGGAAATAAAGTCTTTGTAAATAGGGAAGGGTGGAGGACGTGAAGGGAGGGCTAGGAATGGGGAAAAAATAAGAACCAAGATGCATTATATAAAGGTACAACTCCCAATGAGAAATGTAATTGTGTTTTATACCTACAATGTACCAATAAAATAATTTAATACAAAAAAAAAAATAAAAGGACATGAGGGCTTGTCTGGCTGTGATTCAAGTCACATGCATCTGTGCACAATCTTCTACCGGATTGTGCTTATAGGACTTTAGAAGATACTAAGCTTTAAGAGTGTAAGATGTACACTCAGACTGCGTCTCAGACATCATTTTTGACACATATAAGGTTTTTAGGTGGCAGTTCTTTTCTGTTAGCTTGTCGTGAGTATCATACCATTGATTTCTGATCTTTCTTCAAAGGGAGTCAGACTTTCTCTCCATTTTCTTCTCTCCCTTCTTCCTTGATTTTCAGTTATCTTCTGTTTCACTGTACTACACCTAGGTATAGATTCTTAAAAAACAATTATCCTTCTTGGTATTAACTGGACTAGTGAATCCAGAAAGAGTGCTGTTTTAATAACATTAAAACAGTCTTACTCATTATTTCCTCAAATATTGAATCTTCCTTGTTCTCCTTCCTTAAATTCTAGGATTTTGATCAGATATAAGTTACATGCCTAGATATTTGATAGTATCAAGGAATTATAAATTTTTAGATATGATAATATTGTATTTTGTTTTAAGAATCCTTATTGTTAAAATATACATTTCTTCAAAGAGTATATTATACCTTCTTTCTGTCTTTTCCAGATCTTTTTTCACTGCTTTGTATTTTTATATTTTTGATTCCTTGTTCTTTTTTATTTTTACTTTTATTAGTATACGTTTGCAGTACATAATGGTTATATTTATCATGGGAGTTGCTACAGGTAAATCCTTGCTCTAAATTCTTGATAATATCAAGCTCAGTCTGGGCACATTAGTGACTTAGCAACACCCTGTCTCAAAGTAAAAAAATAAATAAAAATGGATGGGACTATAGGTCAGTGTTCTAAGGTGCTGGGTTCAATCCCTATTTCCTCAAATATCAAAAAATCTTGTTGATATATTCTGAGCTTCTTTTATTCACTAATCCTTTCTTCTGTATCCAATCTGCTATCAGGGATGTCCATCCTGATCTATATCTATACCTATATCCATATCTAGCTATAACTGCATATATGACTTATAATAAAGATTATTTTTTATAGTTTCCTGCTTCCTGAAAATATTTTCAAACTTGTCCTTTATTTATTTAAACCTAGTAAACAAAGTAGATTTATAGTTTCTCATCTGGCACTCCGACCTGTGAAATATGTGCTTGCTTCTGTCTCCTGTTTCTGGGGGCTTCTGTCTGAGAAAACCTTGCTCTGAGAAAACGTCCTATGGTTTTGCATTATTTTTCTAGAACTGCTATGACAACTTGCTTTAGACTAGGTAATGCAGAGAAACAGAGATGTATTATTTCAAGTCCAGGAAGGCAGAAGTCTGAAATTAGGAGACTGGTGGGGTTGAGTCCTTCTGGAGGTTTGTTATGGCTTATATCTAGATGTCCCTCTAAGGCCTCCTGCTCTCATAGGTGGGGCTTCTGGGAGGTGACTGGAGCACGGGAGTATAATACTGGATTTGTCCACTGATAGGTTTATAGCTGGGTGTGATGTTAGCTGGTGAAGCCTGGTGGAAGAGGTGGCTCATTGTGTGAGTGGCCTGGAATGGAATACATCCCTCCTCTTCCCTTGATGGCTGCTGCTTCCCACCTGCCATGCCCCTCTGCCATGCTGCCCTACCCTGGAGCCAACTGACTATGAACTGAAACTTTTACAAACTGTGAGTTAAAATAAATCTCTCCTCCTTTAACTTGTGGGTGTTAGGTATTTTGTCCCAGTAATGAGCAAGTAACTAAGACAGGCTGTAAGGGACAGTTAGTTCCATGTCTGCCTCTAAGGTTCTGGTGGCTGCTGCCAGTTCTTGGCATTCTTTGGTTTACAGATGGATCCTGAACTCTGTCTGTTATCACATGATCTTCCCTTGGTGTGTCTGTGTCTGTTTCCAAATTTCTCTTTCCTTGCTCTTATAGAGACACCAATTGTTAGATTTAGGGCCCAACCTAAACCAGTATGACCTCATCTCAACTTGTTTGTATCTGCAAAGACTTTATTTCAGAAAATGTTGAATTCACCTGTACTGAGCTATGTGTATGTATGTGTGTGTGTTCCTGGAGATTGAACCCAGGACCTACACACTTAGTTACATCCCTAGTCCATCTTTAATTTTTTTTAAATTTAAGACAAGATCTCGCTAAATTGCCCAAGTTGGTCTCAAATTTATAATCCTCCTGCCTCAGCCTCCCAGAGTGCTGGAATTACAGGCATGTGCCACCTTGCCCAGTGAGGGTTAGGTTTTGTACATATGTTTTTGGAGGACACAATCAACTCACTCTAGGACTTTATCAAAAAGCCCTGACAGATGTAAGAGGATGAAGTTATACCTCCCCTGGTCATTCTGCACCCAGAGTACCCCAAAGTTTCCAGTTCTCCTGTTTCCCACAACCAGAGTGCAGACTCTCTGACTGCCTGGATGTCCAGCGTATTCTGACAGATTGCTCTGGACTGCCAAGTACTAATAAGAAGCAATAACTGAATCAACAAGTTATTTTTACAAGAAATAGAAAACGTGCTGTCAGCACTTCCTGTGAACCAAAGCTCCCTGGAAGAATACCAAGTTTGAGAGTAATGACCAGGTCATCCTGGCTGGTCCAGGCTCTCTCTGGCTCTTGGGAGAGGCACAGGTGGGCTGTGGACCTGGTGTGCCCTTCTCCACCTTTGCATTGCCTCTGACCAGGGTTATTAGGCCAGGGTTATTACAGTGCACCGGCCCAAGGCCCCAGGACACCGGAGGCTCAAAGATCCTGAGCTGAGGGTCTGTGCTGCTGTGCCTTGGGCAGGGAGAACTTTCTCACTCACTGCTGCATTAGCTCACAGGGCGTGAGCAGTGCGGGGCTCGGGGAAGGGAAGCCTCTGGCCTGGCCAGGCAGTTTCCCACTGTACCTGGCCCCAGCTCCTGGCCAAGTAACACAGGCTCATATATATGCTGCTGCCATTCTTGAAGCCTGGGTCCTGGTGCTTAAAGCCTGAAAATAAACACCCATTTCCCTTGAGGGCATTTGGATCTAATCTATTTGTATTGTGCAGATTGTTTGCATTCCTTCGTGTCTGAACTAGTGAAGGCTGACGTTGGCTTCTCAGTTCTTTTCCTGTTCAGGGATGGAGTTGCCCCTGAAGCCTGAACTGAGCCTCCAGCAATCTTAACCAAGCAGATCAGGCCGCTGGCAGGTGAGGAGAGGAGATAGTACTGGTGGAGGTTCTTTTAGGGCCTGGGAAAGGAGAGCTTGTGTGGGAGACATTGAAGAAAAGTCTATATGACAAGATTGCCATCGTGATCGAGTTCTATGTTGTGCTAATTCACCTGGAAAATTTTAAAATACATTTATTGTACGTTCTTCTCTTTAGGTTAGAAGGAAATAACTGGAATTCAGGTACTGATGGACTTTCCTTAATGGTATGTATACATACACAATGAATAGCATGTAGAATGTATATATAACTACATAACGTGCCTTAGATATCATATAATTACATAGTGCTCTATTCTACAATTACTTTTGAGCAGTATTTGGAAAACATATGAGTACTTTATACTTTAAATTCTTATACAGATTGTAGAGTCAAGGTTCAAGATTTCCTCTGGATCTAGCCTAAGAAGTAAGGCTTCATTTTCTTCTAAAGGAAGGCTTCTCAACCCTATCAGACCCAATATTCACTTTTTACAAAAATTTTTTAGTGATACAGATTATGGTTAATATTTTTAAAGTCAAATTTTTATAGTAGTTTTAAATTCACAGAAAAATTGAGTGGAAAGTAGATGCTTCCCATACACCCTCTGCAGCCACACATCCATAGCTTCCAGCATCCTATATCAACATTCCCCACTACAGTGGTACCTTGTTGCAACTGATGAAACTATACACATAATCATCACACAAAGCCCACAGTTTGCATTAAAGTTCACTCTGTGTTGTGCACATATTTAGACAAGTGTATAATGATGTGTATCCACCTTTATGGTATCATACAGGGTATCACTCCCGCCAAAATACTCTGCCTCTGTCTGTTCATTCCTCCCTCTCCCGTAGTGCCTGGCAACTACTGATTTGTTTTCTTAACTGTCTCCATTGCTTTGCCTTTTCCATGATGTCATATAGTTAGAACCTTATATAATATAGCCTTTTTGGATTGGCTTCTTTCACTTAGTAATATGTGTTTTAGTTTCCTTTATGTGTTTTTATGGTTCCATAGTTCAGTTCTTTTTAGTGCTGAATAATATTCCATGCCAAGATGTGCTGCAGTGTATTTATCCACTCACTTATTGAAGGATATCTTGGTTGCATGCATGATTTGGAAATTATAAGTAAAATTGGTATAAACAGCCACGTGCAGGTTTTTGTGTGCACTAAAGATTTTGACTCATTTTGACTACTACAAGGAGCAGGACTGTATGGTAAGAGCATGGTTAGTTTTTATAAAAACTGTCAAACTCTTCCAAAGTGGCTGTATCATTTTGCATTGCCAGCAGCACTGAGAATTCCTCTTGCTCCACATCTTTGCCAGCGTTTAGTGTCCTCGGTGTTCTGGGATTTGGCCATTCTAATAGGTGTGTAGTGGTGTCTTGCTGTTGCCTTAATTTGCTTTAATTTGCATATCCTTGATGACATAGGATGTGGGATATCTTCTCCTATTCTTGTCTACTACAAAGCAAGTATTCTTGTAATAGCTCCTTAAATATTCTGAAAGGCAATTTGTATTTAATATCGTTTACTTACAATACAATTTTGCTCAGAAAGTTGATACAGTGCACTATCTAAAATATAAATAAGAAATAAAAGGAAGATGATTAACAATGACATAATATAGGAGGAGACATACGCTTGTCCTTATGTGTAGAATCACTATGAAAGTGACAACCCCAAATGAACACTGATACAGGTGTCTCAGGTTGGCAGTAAAATGTCCCAAATCAGCAATGGGATTTTTGGAGATGGCAAACAAGTTCTGGTTAAAGCAAGTTACACAAAGTATAATTTTCCTTTTTATGCATTATAGATGTGTCCACAGATATTCAATGTATACTAAAGTCATGCAAAAGATCCAGTACATTGTATTTATAAGTAAATGAAGACAAGTCCTAGGCTTTAATATTATAAATAGGGTACTTAGTTTGCTTTTCTTGCATAAGTATCTGATGTAATGTTAATATTTGGCATACCAACAGTGCTGCCCAAATATTGTGGTAAATACTGCATGAGATGCTGGGGATCAAAGCCAAGACCTCATACATGCTTGGTAAGTACTCTATTTCTGACTGCTCCTATGTTACCATTTTAAATGGCTATTCTAAAAGATGGAACTCTGGCTCTAACAGAATTCTTTGAACCACAGAAAGAAAAGCAAAATCAGACAGAAATCAAAAGGTATAAACTGACCACAATGAAGAAGAAGAAGGGGCAAAGAGGAAGGAAGTGGGAGGGCTAGGGGAAAGGATAAAAGGAAATGGGATTAATATGAGAAAATGGAAAAATAGGAACAAAATCTTTGTAAATAGGGAGGAATGGAGGGGTTGAAGGGAGGTCTGGGCAGGCGTGAAAAATAAGAACCAAGAGAGACTATGTAAAGGTGCAAATTTCCAATGATGAATGTCATTATATTGTATACCTAAAATGTACCAATGATTAGAATGAATAATCGATAATGCAAAATAGGAAGAAAAGGTCCAAAGGGGTAAGGGTAGTGGGAGGCACAGGGGAAAGGAAAGAAGGGAAAGGAAAAATGCTGAGAAATGGAAAAAGTGGAAATAAAGTCTCTGTAAATAGGGAAGGGTGGAGGGGGTGAAGGGAGGGCTAGGAATGGGGAAAAAATAAGAACCAAGATGCATTATGTAAAGGTACAATTCCCAATGAGAAATGTAATTGTGTTGTATACCTACAATGTACCAATAAAGAGTTTAATACAGTGCAAGAAAAAAAAGAAGAGATAGAAATGAATCGATAATTCACAGACAAAAAGAGCCAGGTCCCCAGAAGCCTTACGGAGCATTTTGTAACTGCAGCTGGCCCCAAGTCCAGGTGCTGCCTTAGGAGCTCAGTCACAGGGAATAACACCCATACAAATGCAGGACCATGAGCTGAATGAAACGGGCGAATGAGGTAGAGGAACTGCAGCCTCTCCATCTCCAACAGCCACCTGGGCACAGAAACCGTGTCACTCTGACTTGAGCATGGTGCCCCTTTGTAGGGCTGGGTGCCATTTGCTTGCCTGAATATCCACAAGTCACAAGCAGATCCTATCATCTACTGAGTAGTGAAGTAGAGATGGGCAGAGTAGGAAGACTGGATCGAGAGGGAAGAGGTGGGACAGTAATTCCCAATCCAGGTTGCACATTCACATCTCTTGAGAAGTCCTTAAAAATATTGATGCCTGAAAAAATTTCTCCCTGAAAGAATATTAGCTAATTTCATTAGTTTTATATTTGTACTTCTGTATACTGTCTCCAAAGAGATTAGTTTTGAGGATTGTCTCTAAATTTCAATTATTTTCTCTCTCAAAGGGCTCAGGATGCATGTGATGACACTTCACGTTACGAAATAGAAAACCAAGTGACTCTGTTTCATGATCCATAAACCCCCTAACAAAATCCCTCAGACACCAGGGAAAAAGCCGCGTTTGTGGTTCTATTTTTAATCTCTCTATTTTTTAATTCTCCTCATTTCACCTTTAAAACTTCTCCTTGCTTCAAATTTTTGAATATGCTCAATTTACAATGGCACTTGTATTGCTATTGCAATGCCCTGCTATTCCTAAATAAATATAATTAATCCTTAGAGAATCTTTCTGTCTGATTGCTATTTTGTTTAACAGCAGTTAACTTGTTCTACAGTGAGATCTACTCATGGTATTCTGACTTAATTGGCTGTACATATGACTCCAATACCAGTAATTTTCAAAAGCTCATCAGAATCTAGAGCTGTAGCTCAGTGGTAGAGTATGTGCTTACCATGCAGGAAGATTTGGATTCCATCTCTAGCACCAAAAAGAAAAAAAACAATCTCTGGGAGGATGAGGCAGGAGAATCCCAGTTCAAGCCTAGCCTGGGCAATTTAGGGACTTTGTGAGATTGTCTCAAAAACAAACAAACAAACAAAACTTTAAAAGGGCTGGGAATGTAGCTTAGTGTGAAACCGTGGGTTCAATCCTCAGTATGGGGTGCTGAGCAAGCTGGTCATTCTAACATAGAGTTGAGATGGAGAACATCTAATCTGGCCACTGAGAACAAAGAGTGAAAAGTTTTCTCTTTTGCTATCTGATGCTTTTACAAGGTAACAAAAAAAAATATGGATACTGAAAAAAAAAATTTGGAGCACAATATTGTATTAGTCCTGCAATAGTGAGTAGTTATATGACCTTAGGCTGGTAAGTTTATCTAAGACTCAGTGTCATCTATAAAAGGAGGTTAATGACAGCAGTTATAATGCCTTATAACTTGAAGTGAGGTTGAAATGAGCTCCTGTGTGATTATTTAGCTGACTCATGACAGGAAGTACTCAGCAATAACTATCTTCATCATCATCATCGTTGTTACTTAGTGAAATAAAAACATTGATCATTCACATGCATATATATCTGCCTCCATGAGAAAGTACAAGTAATAAAATATGAGCATTAAATCTCTCTGAAATTATTTCACATTCCTAGAGATCTTTTCCTTGTCACATATGCTTGGGGAGGCAAAGTAATAGATTTTCAGTGTTCATAATTGGATCTGACCCCAGGCTCTTTTGGCATTCTGGGAAGCCTCAACCTTTGTTTTCTTAATCCTCCCCACAAAAGCCCATAGTAGGCTTTATTTTTTCTTAGAATGTCACATGTCTGCAATTTCTACCCATTTATGCTCTATAAATATTAATTCCAGACTTGTACATCCAGCGCTTCCTGATCCTAAGGGCTCTGCAGAATGGACTAGGACCTTTGCATACAATGCACAACCTACCAGGTTGGTGTAAGGTGATGAAATGCTTTGTGGCAGAGATTGAAAGAACAGCCTGGGAAAGCCAGCTCTAATCATGTAAATCTTTTCTCAAAATGAGAGAAGAATAAGGGCAGACAAAGCTGGCTGTCAGTATTAAGCCTCTGGAGAGCTGTGAATTGGACTAAGTGAAGGATTCATATGGCCTGGATAGAGACAGGCCCACTGCATTGCCTCCTTGGCTTCCTTTCCTCAAAGACAGGTCCCAGCGTAGCCTCCCGAGCACCCAGATGTGATAACACAAATGCAAACACAAGGGGGAATGAGTTCCCTGCCTAGAGCTGGATCTGAGTCTCTCAAATTCCCCCAGACTGTACCTGCCAGGGACCTGCTGGAAATGACAGAATCCAACTCCAGTCACTTATGAAGAAAGACACAGTAGACCAGTGTTCAGGAGCTGCTGCTCATGCTGAGGAGGCTGGGGAACAGGTTTAGCTCAGAGCCATCAGCCACCAGGGCGGACACCAGTCCCCACAGCTGGACCGAGCCCCACAGCTTACCTACTGCTAATGCTGGCATGATGGTGGCAGGTGTTATTGCCTCTGCTTTTGGGGACTTGGTATTGTCCCTCATCCCCCGACTGCCACTGCCCACTGTTTTTAGTGTGAAGCAGCCCTATCCACCCACTCTCTCAAACCAGCTTCAGGCCAGCCTCTCGGAAAAGAAAACAAATCCTCCAAATTTCCTGGATCTCAAAGCACAGTAACCCCTATGACACTGGCAATAAATACCCTTGTCTCTGATGCATGCTGATCAGTGTTTCTCCCTGTGGCAGACACAAGGAGGGGAGGGCTGAACTAGTAAACCCCCTGAGGATCCGCATTGGCACCCATATTATCACCAGTGTTTCCTGTCCTCTTCTAGTTTATGGCAACATTTCTCAGCTAAAGGTCTACAGACATATAGTGTTTTTAGAAAGTGCTCTGGCAACTGCTTCATTGTTTAGTCTTAGAAGGGACCCATGATGAATATCTCTGTCTAATGTGAAAGCCATGCAGTATATACCAACTAAATGCTCGGGTGACTGGTGGAGAGCAAGTAGCACTGCCAATGACAGAGTCACGCTGTTGAGGCAGCCCCAGCTGAGCACAATGAGCCTCCATGCTGTTTGACTACCATGCAGCACTGCAGAGAGCTGGCTGTCACCCCAAACCCATTGTCCTCTCTTCCTTGGGAAAGCAGCAAGCCAGTGAAAAACTCTAGGATCAGAGAGACGAGCTAGTCAAATGGCCATCTGTGTACTGCAGAGCCAGAGAACCCAGTAGCTGCTTAGTCTATGCTGGAAGCACAGCACAAGAGGGACCAAAGATGCAGCCCCAGACAAAGGATGAAGGCCAGGAAGGGAAGCTCTCTGCAGAGTCTATGATTTGAGTCCATGTGGAAAGTCTTGAAGAAGCTGATGTCCACAGGTAAAGGCAGCAGCAAAAGACATACCTGCTCAAGAAGAACAGAAGCCAGGATAATGGTATACACCTATAATCCCAGCAATCTAGGAGGCTGGGGCAGGAGGATCATAAATTTCAAGCCTAACCTCGGTGACATAATGAGACCCTGTCTAAAAACAAAAAGGCTGGGGATATAGCTCAACGCAAAGGTCTTGGGTTTAATCCCCAGTACAGCAAATAAAATAAAATAAAATATGAAGGAGCAGAACAATGAGGAAGAGGAGGATAAGCTGGATGAAGAGGAGGTGAATGAAGAAGAGGAGGTGAAGGAAGAATACTGGAACACTCGTGCTTGGACACACTGGTAGCTTCTCTCCCGCTTTTGGTCCATCCAGGCTATGAGACAATGCCGCTCACCTTCACTTCAAGCCGCTCTCCCCACTCAGTTCACTGTCCCACATGCCAACTGTCTCTGGAAACACCTCACAGGCACACCAGAAGTGTGCTTTACTAATTTTCCAGGCATCTCTCAATCCAATTAAATTGACAATCAGGATTAATCCAGGGGGTCCATAAACTTTTATCTATCTATCTATCTATCTGTCTATCTATCTATCTATCTATCTATCTATCTAACTATGAATGTGGGAAGTAACCAAAGTATTAACCTGTAACTTTGTGATCAATAAAATATGACATTCCATTCATGTTTCAACTTGATTTTTTTTTTTTTTTTTTTTTTGGTGTACCAGGGATCGAACTTGGGACCTTGCTTTTGCAAGGCAGGTACCAGAACCACTGAGCTAAATCCCCAACCCCTCATGTTTCAGCTAAAGATATTTCAGAGTATCATTTGTGTTTATCACTAGCTTGAAATCATGATGGTTGACTGGCTACTAGATCTTTCTATTTAAGCAAACATATTACTAATTTACACATTTCCATTGTAAGTATTTTAATAAATATACTTCTATGTAAGTGGTATCTTTTGTAATTTTTTTTGTACTGGGGACTGAATCCCACTGAGCTACATACCCTGCCCACACCCTGCCCCCATCCAGGCTGGCCTTGAACTTGTGATCCTCCTGCCAAGAGGGCTGGAATTGTAGGAATGTGTCACCATTCCCAGCTTATCCTATGCATTTGTGGTATGTTTAAAAAAACTTCTCTGACATGGGTCCATTAAGTTTCATCAAACTGTCAAAGGGGACTTTGTCAGAAAAATTAAGAATGCTGCATTAAGGGATTGCAGAGCTACCAAAAAAAAGAAACTAGGTCTTAGATCAACATGCAGGACAGAACTTCACCTCAATGGAGTCACTTACCTAGAGACTTTTACATAAAGAGAGAAACCTTTATGATCTGTAACGCATGCATGGTATGACCTTTTTGTTATAGCAGCTTATCTAATATTCTAATAACACATATAGTTTTAAATTATTTTATTTTCTTTAAAAATTATACATATATGTGTATATATATCTCATTACCATTATCATATATATGTATATAATATAATATACAATATAATATATGATATATAATAATATATATACATATATACTATATATACATATATATATAATTTTTAACAAAGATGTTTGTGGTGGGTTAAATAATGGTCAGCTTGTAATGCCCAGCTGAACTGAATTAGCCTGGTCTGGGCATGGAAGATCCACCTGAGGATTGTTGCCAATAGCCACAAAAAGAGAACTGGAGGGGAAGATCATAGGCTGTTGATTTTCTAGGAGAAGCTTGTTTGCAGATGGTTTTCCTGATGAGAACTTGGCTGTTCTCTTTAGAGGAGAAGCTCGGTGTCTCGGTGTCTCTGGGAATGGCAGCTGTTCTCATCAGGGGAACTCTGATCTTCACCATAAGCATCATTTCCTGGGTCCAATATAGATCCTTCAGCCTGGTGGCACAAATCCTTCATCCCATCAGCACATGTTTTCTGACTTCCACCACTGGCCTTTGGGCCTTCTGGGTGCAGATCCTCATTATGGACAAGCATGAGACATTGGCATGGGTTCTAGGCCACTGGCTGGAATCATGGAGGGCATTCCCTTGAGCTCTAAGCCTTTAGCTAGATTTGTGTGGGACATTTCTGTGGGATCCAGGCCCTTGGCTGGATTCTTTAGGCCTCTTGTGTGTGGCTAATCTCTTGGACTCCTCTGAATTTGACTTTTTGGGTAAATATAAAATAATCCTATAAACTATGTGTCCTGTATTAAATGTATTACCTTGCCAAACCCTGGCTACAACGTTAAAATCCAACAACCTGTTGAAGAATATGAAAATGAAATAGTTATGCAAAATTCACTTCAAGATCATTGCAGACCTATATACTGCTTTGAGTATTATAAATCTCAACAAATCACCTCTAGTACCTCAAAACTGGTGGTAAGGAGGGGAGGGGAAGGAGAAGAGAAAAGAATTAAGATGTGTTATGTATGTGTACCAACTCTCCACTATGAATGTAATTATCACGTATTGCAAACATGTACTAATGCAAAGTTAAAAATTTTAAAAATTGATATTAAAAAAATAAATATAAGTATTAAATCTAATTTGAATTTTTATTTATTGGGAATAAACACTACTCAACCTGAATTATGTTATTTGTACAGAAATACATTTATGTATGTATGTATATATGTATGTTTTGTTTTGAGACAGAGTCTTGCTGTGTATTCCAGGCTGGCCTGGAACTCACTATGGAACACAGACTGGCCTTGAATTTTTATTAATCCTCTTGCCTTGGCCTCTGAAGTGCTGGGATTAGAGGAGTCCAAGAAGTATCTATATTTAGAAGTTTAAAATAGTTCTTTTAAATTCATTATAGAAACAAAACATGGACATATAAGTGAATTTTGTTTTTAATGTGCTAAGCGCAAGAACTGCAATATTAAGTTTGTAGCATGCAGTTTATTGATGGAATTTTAAACTTTGGTCCAGATTTTAATACATAAAAATTGGATCCTAAAACAAAATAACACATAAAGTCCTCTTGAGTTAGTTTCTAAACCATATTTTTCTCATTAATTTAAATCAATAGCATGAGTTAGGATCAAATTGAAAAATATGAATGTGGGTATATATTTTAAATATTACTAAGGATTATACAAAGTAAACTCTAATAATATAATAAATAAAAATGTATTTTATATGTGAAATTACTGACTGTATGCTCAGCTAAAATGATGAAGTTAGTTTTTAAATTCACTTTATGCATTCTAGGTGTTAAGGTTTGGATCTTCAAAGCCCCCTAAAAGGTTCATGTATTACTTGGTCCCCAGCTGAGGGTTCTATTGGAGGTGGTGGAATTGCCAGTAGGTGGAGCTAATGGAAGAAAGTTAGGTCATTGGGGGTGTGCCCTCAAGGGGGATATTGCGATGCTGACCCCTTTCCTGTCTCTCTCTTTGCTTACCAGTAGTGATAAGGTGAGAAACATTGTTCCTCCATATACTCCCATCACAATGTTCTGCCTTGCTTGAGACCCAAAAGCAATGAAACCAGCTGACCTCAGACTGAAATCTCTGAAACCATGGGCCAAAATAAACTTTTTCTCCTTGTAAGTTCTTTATCTTGGTATTTTGTCACAATGATGGAAAGCTGACTAGCACACTAAACCACAATATAAAATGACTTTGATGATAAAACAAGGAACTTTTGATCAAAGTCTGGGGAAAGAAAATACCTGGTATTCAGCAAAGTTTTAACCTTGTCTAAAGAGGGAGTTGGCCTTTGCCTTCTGCTCCTGGGAGGAATGTTCTGCCTAATAATAATTGTCTTCCTTTACCTGGGGACCTAGAGTCACACCTGACAGTTTACACTAATGATATAATTTACAACCAGGTGTGGGGGCATGTCTGTAACTTCAGCACTCTGGATGGTTGGGGCAGAAAGATTCCAACTTTGAGTTCTGCCTGAGAAACTTAGTGATGTTGTGAGATACTGTCTCAAAATAAAACTTTTAAAGTAAAAGCAGGAACTGGGGATGTAGCTCAATGTTAAGACCCTAGGATCAGTCAATTCCCAGTAAAACACACACACACACACACACATTACAGGAAGAGCTTTTAGTTATTCATAATCAGATCAACTTCTAGAGGGACTGGGAACTAAGTTCAGCTAATATATGTGGCCAATCATATTTATGTGATTGAACCCCAATAAAAAATCAATACATCAAGTTTTGAGTAATTCTCCTTGGTTGGTAGTTCTCCATAAAAAGTGTCACACATCATTGCTGGCGGGGGGGGGGGGTTAGTGCCATTTATGCCTTTGTTGGGAAAGCTTTGCCCTTAGAGCTCTCCTGGACTTGGTCCCATGTGCTTCTTCTTTTGGCTGATTTAAGTCTGTGCTCTTTAGCTGTAATAAACCACCATTGTGAATATGTCAGCTTTCAGTGAGCTCTTTCAGTCCTCCTGGAAAATTATCAAAACTGTTTATGGTCTTGAGGACCCTTGAATTTTTGAACAGCTGGTATCAGAAGTGAAAGGGGTCTTGTGAACTCTGAATATCACATGTGTCGTCTAGTCTTGAATATCCCTAACCCAAGTAGTCACTGAATCTCTGTTTGTCTTCATAGCAGACAGGGTCTATTGATTATCTGCCCCATTCCCCTCACCTCTCACCTTTCCTTTGTGTCATTTCCCACATTCCCTCTCTTCAAGGGAAGATCAATAGGTGGGAAGTGAGGACTCTTTTCTCCTCCAAGCACCATCAATGGCAACACCAGTGACGGCATACAAGGAGCTGAACAGTATTCAAAGCTCCCGAAGTGATCCTGAGGCAGCATCTCCAAATTCTCAGCAGCTCCAGCCCAGGGACTGTAGCAGCTTCTGACCTCTGGGTAAGACCTCCTTCTTTCCTTGGGCATCGAACACCTTTGTCAACATCCCCTGGATTCATTTCCTCTCCTCTTTCCATTTTCCTGAAAGAACAATGACTGATACAGATCTCCACCTGTATAATGGGAATCATAATGATACCTGTGCTCTTTATCATATAGGCCCACTGTGAGCATCCATGATTTACTGGTTGCTACGTTAATAAAGAGTCACCTAATTTCATAGTACTGTACTACGATCTTGCAAAGAAGGGTGTTTGCATAAGGAAATAAGCATAGAATGGGGAGGAGATTTCTCTGGAATCTGGAGTAAAGACAGGAAAAATTAAAAAGTGTGGTCACTGTATCATGATACATTTTGCCTGGGTAGGTTGCCCTATGTTTACAGATATTTATTTTCCATAGTTGCCATGAAGCAATATGGGATGGATATTAAAAGATTAAGCTCTATAATCAAATCCTAGCTCCATCATTTATTGCCTGTGTGGCCTTAAGCAAGGGCTGTAATTATTATGCCTCATTTCCTGATCTGTAAAATGGGAATAATAGACCTACTTCACTGGGTTGCTTCAAGGATTTAATACAATCATAATTCACACATAACTAAAATGTTGTACAAGCAAGATTTCATGGAAATATTAAGAAAGGACCTTTATTTTGTTCTCATTGTCCATTCAAAATTTATTCAATGGAAGATCTTTCCCTGCCCTTGCATAAAAAATCAGGCAGTTTCTCAATGGTTCTGATTATCTTCAAATAACAAAAATTCTAAAACCACATTGTTGCAAAACACAATCTCAAGGGCATGGTGGTGCAGGCCTGTAATTTCAGCACTTGGGAGGCTGAGGCAGGAGGATAGCTGGGAGTTCAAGGCCAATTTAGGCTACATAGTGAGTTCAAGGCCAGCCTGAATTACAGAGAAAGATCCTATCTTAAAAAACCAATGAGGGGCCAGGGATGTAGCTCAGTGGCGCTGAGCCTGCCTAGCAAGCCCAAGGTCCTGAGTTGGATCCCAGTACTGCAAAAAACAAAACAAAACATAACAAAACAACCAATGGGGAGGATAAAATACAATCTCATTCTGATTCTTAGAACAGCATGTTTCATAACAAAAGATTCCAGTTTCTTTAGGTTTCCCTTGGCTGAGGTCTTCTGATGAGATGCCAAATCTGGCAGTGAAGGTGGGAGATTCTCTATTCCCTCACCCTCACCCTCCTGTCAATAGAGGTAGGAAGCTAAGAAAGAGGATGGGCAAAAAGTTCCCATCTACTGTAACTGGTTCTGTTGGCTTCCCACTCTCTGGGCTTGGTAAACACCTAAAGGTTCCTTTCCACCCTGTGCTTCAGCCTCCCAATAGGATCCTGCATCACACTTCAGTGTTGAGCACAATTTGTTCATCTGGTGACTGACCTTGAAGCCCAGTGTGAACGCATGTGCACACCTGCACATCCCGTTGTCATGGATTCTCTTTTGCAGGCCCACTGTTGTTCCAGGTAACCCCTTGGCCAAGGTTTTTAGAAGTTTCCAAGCCAGCATCCTCATCCTCATGGTCAGCGTGTGGGTGGCCTCTTTGTCCCAACAGACTCTGGGAGTGCAGGTTGATCTTACAGCGGCAGTGACTCTTTTCACCCCATGATGACCTCTCTGATCCACCCTTCACTCTTGCTCTCTGGTGCAATACCATGGCAGAGGACACTATGAAGCCCAGGACGGTTCCAGGGACACCTTTCCTGACTTGAGTTGAAGAAGGAAGCATGTCTTTGTATTCTGCGGGCCCAGGAGGAAAAGGATCTTTACAATGCCTCTTTACAAATAGTAATTTCTTCAAAAATATTCTCTCAGTTTCCATTCTTTTATAGTCATAAGCCACATAACAACATTTCCGTCAAAGCTATTGCCTAGGGATGCCCTACTGCAATGTGTTATTCTGATGGAAAGTATTATTCATGTGTCTGTGATATAAACACACCAACAATAATGCCAGTCACATAAGAGTGTTGCATCTACAATTAAGGCCAGTCCATAATGCTTGCTAATGATAAATGACTCTGTTACAGGTTACACATTTATTATACTGTACCATTACTTTAGAATGTATTCTTTCCAGTTACTAAAAATAGCAGTTCCTTCCATCTTGTGTTTGTCATCTCTCTTGATCACATCAGGGGCACATGGCATTAGTAACCTGTATCACCTGGGTGAGACTGAGAATATGCCATGATATTTACACAAGAATGAAGTCATTTAACAATGAATTTCTCAGAACACAGCTTCATTGTTAAGCAAAGTATTACTGCATTTGACCTGGCCAAAGAAGTTAAAGATTGTGCAACTACTTTTCAACTAAATCTTATTTTAAATCAATCAATCAATCAATCAATCAATCTTTGGGGTGATCTGTTCAACAACTCAACTTGGTGTTTAAAATCTCGTCTTGTTGCTTCAGCCAAATCTGAGAAAGAACCCCATTTTACGCCTTTTCTATGTTCTATTAGAACAGTGCTCAGGAAAAGTTAGCTATTAATAACTACTGTGGACAGACATAAGACAGCACGTGTATAGTTTAAAATACGCAACTGGAACCAAAACAAAGGAATCACTTCTCTTACAAATAGCCTTAATCAATTTGATGTACTAGAGTGTATTCTCTAGTTCATTTTCAGAGTAGGAGAGATTTTTATCTATGTGGACTGGATTAGCTGAGTTCAGTTTAAGCAGAGGAGCAGACACATAGTCTGTTATTGTAGTCTGCCGTATTTAGAAACTGAGCCACACTGTGCAAAGGTGTGAGGCAGCAATTTTGTCCTGTATGGGCTCCTGGGGGAAGGGGACCATAGAGCTTTATGGGGAGGAGAATGTTGAAAGATTACCATACAATGTATTTGGCAACAGAATTACTATTGTTTCATTCACCAGATGTAATACAGGAATTGAATGGTGCTGTCCACAGTCTTGGAAAGATTCTCCCATAGTTTGTCTTTTCTAGGGAAAAAGATTTTTAAACTGAAATATTTTCATGGATTAGCAAAGACATGATTTTTGGTTATATAATGACAGTCTCTTACCTTACTTTCTTTTTCTTAGAAAGATGAAAATTGTGTTGGATTTGGAAGGGATGTAGTTCCAATTGGACTAGTGAACTCTGAGTTATAAGAATCTGGACTGCAGTCTCCAAATCTCACGGAGTGTTGTTTTTCTCCTCCATAAAGTGGAGACCCCAGTACCATGGCTTGACCAACCCACAGACCTATTCTAAAGGTTTAGTGGGCTAAATAGCAATAATATTATTTAATTGTTGTGAAAGTACGTGATAAGTGCATCAGATCGACCAGTTTTGCTGGTGTGTTTAGATTTGGATCTGCTAAAACTACAGTGTCTTGAGCAGGCTGAAAGAGAAGCAAAATTTCTCAAAGCCAGGAGTTTTTGGGACTACACGGTCATATAAATCAGGGAACACAACTCTGGTGAGTTCATTTACTTCAGTAAACAAACTCCAAGTTTTTCAATCAGTATGTTATAGAACAAAAATTAGATAGGAAGTAGTGGTAGACTATAATGGAGATGGGAAAAGGATATGAGGCTGGGGTAAGATGGAAGGGAAGGATAGGGAAGGGGAAATGAAAAGGATCAAGATGTAATATGCATATGTACCAATTCTGAGTGATGAGTATATTTATTATAGTAAATTGCAAACATTCTACTAAAGAAAAGGGGAAAAAACCAAAAAATTAATTCAGTGTTTTATAAAAGCATGCTCATAACTTATTTTGTAGTTAAAATGTATATTTCCAGGAGGTTGAATGTTAATTGTTTTAAACTGGTGAATATCTTATGATTTATCTGGACAAGTTTATTCCTTCTCAATGAGTATATGAAATGATAGACCATGTATAGATTTAAAGTCAAATAAGAGAGTAGGGGCCATGAATAGAGACTGAAGTAGGATAGTAGGGATTTTGGAATAAGCAAATAACTACATTAAGAATTGTGAAAGTGATTTTTCTTGTTTGTTTTTATTTTGTTATTTTGTTTTTTCCTGTGGAAGAGATTACAATTAAGGAAGGGAGGAGATGACCTCTAAGATGATAAGTTGAAAGATGTCAACATAAACTTTGGGTTTACATAAAAATAGAAATAGTTACATAGTGTACATGTATATGGGTGTCTTCTGTTTCTCTTCATGAGAGAGCTCAGCGGCAATGCCTATGTCACACTCCAATGACAATGAGTATACTGGTTTCCAAACATTCGTTTTCACTAAAAGGAACTAGGACTCCTTAGAGAACTGGCTGATTCCAGGAGTAGGACGAAAAACACACATGGTGAACTTGGAACACTTTGTTGCATAAGTGAGGAAATGGTCAAGAAATAATGGAACCAACTGGGCATGGTAGCACATGCCTGCAATTCCAGCATCCTCAGAGGCTGAGGCAAGAAGTTCTCAAGTTTGAGTCCAGCCTGGACAACTTAGCAGTTTAGTGAGAACTTACCTCAAAATAAAAAATTAAATAAAATTTAAAAAAAGAAAAAATAAGAAATAATGAAATCATGTAATTAAAAAAAAAGACACAGGGAAGGACTTCATTGGTCAAATCAAGGTCAATTTGAGGGAAAAAAAGATAGAAACGAATTATAGCCCCCTGAATAAAAAACCAAAGCTATAATTGTATACTGATCTAAATAAAAAATAAGTGAGAAAGGAAAGCTTGTCTTTGTAGTAGAATGCCAATTATAGAGGGCATAATGGAAAAAGAAAAAATCATTTCAGGTTATTATAATGACAGCTGACTCAAATAAGAATAATCAGCGGATGGTAAAGCTTGTGGATGGGGGTCTGATACAGGATACAGCATACTGATCTAGTCTGAGTACACTTCTCCATAAAATATCAGTTACCGAGGAAAAATGGTGACAATACAGTGGAGAAACTTCCCCCACCTTGACGAGGTGATAAAGGCTATTGCTGTGGGCTGAATTGTCCCCCTAGAATTTATAAGTTGAAGTTCTAACACCCCATACCTTAGAATGTGGTTGATTTGGAGAGAGGGTCTGTTGATTTTCTCTCTTTTTTTCAGTGCTAGGAATTGAAACAAGGGCTTTGCACATGCAAGCAGGTGCTCCATCACCAAGCTGCACCAGCCCATAAGTTCTTTAAGGAAATGTTCATGCTAAAATAAGGTCATTAAGGTGGGTCCTACTCCAACAGGACTACTGTGCTCAGAAGAGGGAACATGGACACAGACATGCACAGAGGGAAGGCTGCATGAATACACAAGGATAAGATGGCCATCTGCAGGCCAAAGAGAGAGGCCTCACAATAAACCAATCCACTGGCACCTTCATTATGGACTTCTAGCCCCCAGAATTGCGAGATATAAATTTTTGTTATTTAAGCCTCCAATCTGTGGTACTTTGTTCTGGAAGCCGTGGTTGTTATCACTTTTGTTAAGATGGGATGACAATAAGTTCCTCTATGATGTGAAGCATTAAGAAAATCACAGCAGAATTTTTTTGTCCTTTAGCAAGGAATGAATCATCTGAATGTGTTCATGAGAAGACATCTGACAGAGGCACATGAAGGACTACCTTACAGCGAAGGCCAGTAGTTACTAAAGATGTCAAAGATATCAAAATAAGCCAGATAGGGTAGTACATGCCTGTCATTCCAGCACCCAGGAAGCTGAAGCAGGAGGATTGCTGTGAGTTTGAGGCTAGCCTGGGCTACATAGTGAGTTCAAGGCCAGTCTGAACTAGCCAGACCCTGTCTCAAAAAAACAAACAAACAAACAAAAAGCCCCAAATTGGCAGTCTTTTTTAAAAAATTGAAAGTCTTTAAAAAAAAAAAGCTGTCAAAGTGAAATGACAACTACATCCAATGTGTGATCTTGAAATGTACCCTGAAACAAAAAAGAAAAAGAGACATTGTTGAAGGAGTTGCAAAATTTGAACAGGTTGTGGTTTGGGTGGGACCGCAGTGTTGTGCCAGTACTGATTTCTTGATTGAAAGGGTTATGCTCTGCTTAAGGAGAAAGTAGCCTTTGCTCTGGAAAGGTGCACACTGACGTATACAGAGGTGATGGAGCATCCTGTCTGAGGTTTGTACATGATGGTTCAAAACAGACTAAAGAGTAATAAAGATTAAAGATGAGAGAGGGGGACACCAGTGGGGAGGGAGGGAGGGAGAGGGGAGAGAGGGAGAGAGAGAGAGAGAGAGGATTGTCTGGGGAATCTCAGTAAAATGGATGTGGGATTTCTTTATCATGATTTTACAGCTTCTATATATTTGAAATTGTTTACAAATAAATTACATTTTTTAAATATATCAATAATTTAAACAGAACCAGTTCATATTGGTCTTACCTCTAAAGTGTACTAGATGCACAGTGCTCCTCTGATTATAGATTTTAAGTTTCCCTTCCTTTTCTTAATATGTGAAAGTGTGAAAATCTGTAGTTTACTCTTGCCTTATTTCTACTACAACATATGGTTACTCTTCATATCTAGAGGGGGAAAAAACCCAGAAACTCCTCAGATCTATGAAGTCAAATTTTGGATTGAGGACTAGGAATCTATGTTAGCACTAGGATCCTCAGATAATTCTTATGCACACTAAAATTTAAGAGCTATTATCACATAGTCTCTATAGCACCTAGCTTAGGGGTTTTGATGATAATTACATAAATGCCTTAAAATTACATCATGAAATTTTCATTTTAAGTTAATTTTCAAATGCCTAGAGTACTTATTCAAGCATTTTAAAAATCTCCTTGTATATCTGATAATTTGTCTAAATCACACTTGGTAGCTTGGTTAAGTTTTAAATTCTTACTGTGTAAATTTTGCCTGCAAAATGATATTATCCAATGAAAGAAAAATTAAACACACATGTTCAGTTCACCACTTTAAGTTGGAAGTTCAAACATATCTGCCTCTTTTGTAAGGTTCAGTTCTGCTGTAAAGCATTCTTTTGTGTCATCTGCCTTTAGCAGAATTAACCTATTTATGTGTAGTGTTCCATTTTTGGAACACCCATAACAATGGAACACAATGGAAATTTTTCTTTTCAAATTCTTGTTCCTTGAATTTTTCCAGGTAACATGTATGAATTTCATACAAAAATTCAAAAAATTGCAACCTTCCACATAAATGGATTAATCCTGTTCTTCAAAGATTTTTTAGGACACAACAAATCGGATCTTATTCTGTGTATTTATATATTTATGCTATTGTTTCCTCAGGAACAATAACAATCCTCAAATGTAAGGAACAAGTTTTCTTCTAATTTTATCTACAGTACCCATCACAATACACAATAAGTACACAATATTTGCCATATACAGGCATATATAATTCATGATATTCCTTTTCAAATATTAAAATATACTCAGATACATTTACATTGACTACAGATATTGATTCCTTCTTATTAATTGCTGTCTCCTTAAGCCAAAATTGAAAACATGTTATTTCCTTCATTAGCACATAAAAAACTTAGAACACCTACTCAAGCAAAGTTTGGGTTGATCGCCCTCTGGTGGCAATTCAAGAAACCGACTTCTCACACAGCCTGATCACTTGCTGTTAAATCTCAAAGGAACTGGGTGTGGCACACACACTAGGGAGGCTGAGGCAGGAAGATTGCTGTGAGTTTGAGGCCAGCCAGGGCTACCTGCCTCACAAGCACAAGGTCCTGAGTTGGATCCCCAGTACTGGAAAAAAAAAATCTCAATGGAATACATCTATTTTAAGTTTCTCAATTGAGCATACATGACTTTTGCAATCAGAGCTATAATTTTCAAGATAACTTGAATTTCTGATACAATGTAAATCAGTGGGAAGCAGAACTAAAACACAAATATAAATTACAGGTTTAAAAAATACAATGTATTTCAGTGTTTGCTTTATCTTTCTTGTTTCTCAGTCTGACTCAGTTGAATTATAACCTCCAAACAAATAGTACAAATGTTAAATAAATATCTGAATTTTCTCATAATTGTCTATTTTCTTTCTCTTTAGGCCATATTTTATTTGCTGATTCATGGGCAAAAGGCAATATAATTTATTTTCAAATATTTTCTTGAATGTCTGTGCTCATAAAAATCATGAAAAGTTGAAAAGATAGTTAAATCACTGAAATTTTAAATATGTCTTATACAGGGGCCGGGGATTTAGCTCCGTGGTTTTGCCACCTGCTGCGCAAGCACAAGGACCTGAGTTCGATCCCTGGTACAAAAAAAATATATATATATATATATCTTATACAGTATTATTTATACAAAATACAACTTAAATATCAACATAAAACAATCATGATAATTTTATGCAAATCTATCTTATGTGATCTTTAGTTATATATGAAAGTTTCTTGAGTCTGTTATTTGTGAAAAGGTCAGAACCAGATTGAGTTATTATCTAGTGGCAAAAAGTCCTAAAAAACTTAAAACTTACTTCAGCATTAATCTTTCACAGTGGTTGTGCTTGTTGCCTAATTTGAGATCACCTAAACACTGGAAACAGAAAAAAAGGGCAATATGTGCACAAACCAACAAATAATTTACAGCACCTGCCTGGCAAGTGTGAGGCCCTGAGTTCAATTTCTGGTACAAAAAAAAAAAAATGCAAGATGAACACACTTAAGGAGATAAAGGAAGATCCTAACTATATGACCCAAAACTAAGAAGTTATTTAAAATGGAACTAGAAGTTATGAAGAATGAGAAATTCTGATGAGGCAAATGTTATAAAATTGTCCTCAGCAAAATGGAAGTTCTGCTGCAAAGATGCTGGCAGCCACGGCAGCCTGTTGGAGAGGCTGCCTAGTTAAAATTGTCAGGGTTTAAAAAAAAAAACCCCAAAACTGCAAACCATTAAACTGGTTTTCTATGATGCCTCTCTTGGCTTACCCAAGCTGACTGCTCTACACCAAGCATGTGTAAACACCAAGTACTCTTCAGCCACAGCCAAGTACTGTGGCTTTCCCATGGTCTTTGTTTCTTAACAATGATCTAATGACTGTCTTCCTCATGTGACTTAATTCCTGAAGCAAATTAACTAAAAGTTTCTGGTTATTCTTTGACTAAATAAAATAGATGGAGGTGGACATGATGGCACACACCTGTAATCCCAGCACTCAGGAGGCTGGGGCAAAAGGATCATGGGAAGTTTGAAGCCAGCATGGGCTACACAGTCAGTTCAAGGCTAACCTGGGCTACATAGTTAGACCCTGCCTCAAAACAAACAAACAAAAAATATATGGGAAGGAAAATATAATTAATGAGAAAAATAGTAGGGTAGATACAGCTGAAGAAGAACAAGTTAGAAATTTATAAAATCAGATTGTGGAAGTTTTCTAGGAGACATTTGGGAAAAAATAGAGATATAGAAAATATGAAAAAAAAGGAAAATACAAAAGAAAATCTAAGAAATGTGGAGGATATAAAAGGTAGAAATACAAAGCCAATATCTAGATATTATGAATCCTAGATAGGCAGGAGAAAAAAAGGCAGAGGAAGCTCCACTTAAAGAAATGATGAAGGTTATGGTGGTGCATGCCTGTAGTCTCAGCACTTGGGTGGTTGAGACAGAAAGATCATGGCAAGTTTGAGTTCAGCCTGGGCTATAAAGTGAATTCAAGACCAGCTTGAACTACATAGCAAGACCTTGTATCAAAAAACAAACAAAGGCCAAGGATTTAGCTCAGTGGCACTATGCCTGCCTTGCAAGTGCAAGGTCCTGAGTTTGATTGCTGGTACAGCCAAAAAAGAAAAAAAAAAGGGAAAAAGAAATGATGAAGATAAATTTTCCTAAATTAAGTAAACATGAGAGACCTCAAATTGAAAGTCCCAGTCATTGTTCTGAACAGGAGCAAGAATGGAAAATCTCTACCTAGATTCATTATACTGAAATTTAAGAATATCAGTGACAAACAAAAAACTCTACAAAGAACAAATCTACAAAGGAGCAAGAATCACATTGACATCAGAGTTTTTAAAGCAACACTGAATATAGGAGGAAAATAAAGTCATATTTTCAAATTATTGAAGAACACTGGAACCTGCTGAAAACAATAAATTAAGTATTTATATGCTTTATATACATTTCCATGAAATAAGCATAGCACTATTACTATTAACATGTTAAAAAGGCTGCTGGCCATTGCGATGAGAAAAGAAAATGAAAGTGCATAAAGACAGAAGAGTAGACTTAGAAATGTGGTTATTTGCAGAACTGTGATCATTCATCTTAGAAAAATACCTAAAAAACACCAAAAATTACAAGTATATAAAATAATAAAACTATTATAATCCATAATAGATTAACAACTAAAAATTAATGGTATTTTTCACACAAATAACCAAGCTAAATTTTAATTTAAAAATAGGACATTCACACTGGCATTGGTGGTACATGTCAGTAATTCCAGTATTCTGCGAGGCTGAGATAGGAGGATTACAAATTCAAGTCCAGCCTGGACAATTTAGCAACTTAGAGACCCTGTCTGGGGAAAAAAGAAAAAGAACAGTCACGATGGTATAAAATATAATGGTAGAGATCCCATAATGCATCTAGTGATTAATCAAGATGTACAAGATCTCTGTGGAAAAAAATCATAACATTTTGAAAACAGGCTGGCTGCAGAAGCGGGATGCAAAGACTCCATGGCAAGTCTCACACCAGTCCAAGTTCTTTGTCACCCACCTGGGTGTGCTGAGGGTCTCATGCTGACTGCGGGTGATGGCTGAGGAGATATATGGAATAATTTGCTCATCCAAGCCTAATTCCAGAACAACCTCTACTTTTCAACAGTTCAGATAGTGAGGAGTCCATTCATTACCAGATCAAGTTCAGAACTTTCTCCCATAGATGGCCCAGATAAATGAAAAGCTAAGAAGTGGAAGCTGCTCCCTCTGATCATTTGGATACTGAAATTATTGCTGAGATGTTTGGCAAAGTTATACAACTTATAACTTGTATGGGATGAATCAGGCAGATTCAAAAGAAGAAGACAGTTCAGAAGACTTCCCAAGACAGTTGGGAGGACAGTTCAGAGTCAGAGGACAAGGATGATAGTGTCACCAGTGAAGTTGCCATGGATAACATTAAGCTTTCTGAGTCAGAAGGTAGAAAAAATGAACTTGAAGTTTTGGACAGCCCAATAACTAAAAACAATTGAAATAAATGATATAAAAAGAAACAGGTACACACACCTGCTAATTCTGTGAGAAAGAACACAGTTTAAGTGTTTTGTGTTTCTGGTATCTACAGTGCCCATAAGTGTTGAAAGAAAAACTTTAGACAAATCTGTTTGAGCAAAGAACAAGTCATGAAATGGGCAGTACTCAAAGTGGAAAAGGGTTCCGAGAGTGCCACTCATTGTGTAGTGAGGGCAGTATGAGTTTTTAGCTGAATACAGACATAAAGTACAACAATAACTTTACTAACATGAGGGCTTGCCATAGTTGGACATGCATGGTCTGATCCACTGGGATCCTGTGATTGGCTGAAGCTCAGCTGTTTGTATCTGGCTGGAAACCCAGCTATTTATTACAAAAATACACTCCTATTTCAGCTGTTAAACATTTTTTTCTTTGTAAGTCAAGTTATGCACTGTGATTATACTTCCTTCTCTAAGTTTTGCACAGTAGGGTGACTGTAGTTAACAAATAGTTATTTCAAAATAACTAGAAGATTTTGAATGTTTCACAATGAAGAAATGCTAAATGCCTGAAGTGAAAGGTATGTTGATTGCCCTGATTTGATCATTACACAATATTTACCAGTATCAAAACAACATATTTTACTCCATAGATTTGTAAAAATGTGTGTCAATGTAAAAAAATAAACAACAAGAAAAAAATACACTGCTAAATCAGGTTTTGGTTTGTTTATGTTCCGAGGGCTGCTGCAGTAACTGAGAATACCAGAGAAAACTTCAGGAGTATGACCTTGTGCTTATTTATCTTAAAATATTAGATGTACGGTGTTTCTCAGTGAAACCAAAGCTGGCTTTTAAAGATCTGTATTATATAACATTTTGGCATCTTCCAAAAGAAGACTGATCTTTGTTCTTGTGCTAGAGAGTTTTAGTGTTTTGAAAATTGACCTTTGTGCATTGTGATGAGTGAAATTGATGTTCTTTCTTGAGTGTGGATTTCAGAAAGAGTACTGTTATTTTAAAGTAAAAATGCAAATGTCCAGTTTGTTTTCAATTATCCTGAAATAAATAAATGCAGTTTTTAAAATAAATTTTTTAAATTTTATCCCATTCCCCTTTCAAGCCCCCTCCCCTTCTTATGAATAAATGTAGTTTTGTTTTTAAAAAATATAAAAGACAAACTGGGTAGAGAGTTAAATTTTGCAATAGGTGATCTAGCTATGTACTTTCTTTCTTGCTAGGAAAAATTGCCCAACATCTATAAGTTAGAAGAGGAAAGGTATATTTTGGCTCACAGTTTGTAGAAGTTTCAGTCCATAGTTGGCTGGCTTCAAGGGAGGGTGGCTTGGCAGAGGCACATGGCAGGCAGGAAGCAATGAGCCATCAAGAGAGGAACAAGAATACATATATACATCCAGGTCAAGCCTACAGTGACCTACTTCTTCCCACCAAGCTTCATCCTCCAACATCACACCCAGCTATAAACCCATCAGTGGACCAATCCAGCATCACACCCATGGCCCAGTTACCTTCCAAAAGACATCTATGAGCACATGAGGCTTTGGGGGAACATCAAGAGATAACCAATAACAATAGGGTACCTGGGCTGGAGATGTATCTCAATGGTAGAGCACTTTCCTAGCATTGTGAAGCCCTGGGTTCAATTTCCAGTACTGAAGAAAAAAAAAAGAGTATAACACTTACAATAGTGTAATTAAACATATGCATATCAGCTCTCCTCAAATTAATGAATTTAATCTGTTTTTTTCTTTTTCTTGGCAGTACTAGGAATGGAACTCAGGGCCTTTGCCGTGGTATTGAGATACACGTCCAGCCTTTTTTTCTGTTTGTTTTATTTTGAGACAAAGCCTTATTAAATTGCCTAAGCTGAACTTGAACTTTCAATCTTCTTGTCTCAGCCTTCCAAAGTGCTACAGGATTGCAGAAGTATACCACCACACCTGGCTCCATGAATTCAACCTTAATCAAAATTTTTGTTGGTTTTTTGGGGAACCAGTGAATTTTTCCTACAATGTATGTGAAAGACTGAAATCCACAAAATATATATGTCAGTCTTGAAAAGAATGTGTAGAGAGGAAAAACTTGTTTTATGTGATATTAAGACACATTTCAGAGCCGAGCAGTAACAGTGGTATGGGAATGGCATAAAATCAGGCACCACAGGCCAACAGAACAGAGAACAAAGAAGGACACAGCACATGTGGCAATGGCAAAAGAAGTGACATTATCCTCTGCAACGGTCACATAACTACTCAAGCCTTGAGTAACTTACTGATTGCACTAACAACCCACAAATTTGTCAGAGAGGGCACACTAATCCAGAGACATAGCTAGATAGAAGGCAGGTACATTTTCCCACTGAGGTGAATCTGAGAATAATTAACTGTGGAACTTCTACTTTGGGTTGGGCCATTCTGAATCCTTCAGGGACACTTGCTCTTCCAGATGTCCAACTATGGTGCACATTTTCTTAGGCAGGAGGTGCTAACGTCATGAGGATTTCTCCTTCAGTGTTTTGTTATAGCAGCATCAACATTTAAAAACATTTAGTCTCCTGCGTACTGATGTAGGGAAAGTTTGGGGACAGGCAGGGAAAGATAAGGGCCTTAGTGAGGTTTCTGGCAAATCCTGACTGCAAACAGTTAAACCCTTGCTAGAGAGAGCAATTAAGAGAAGCAGGGAAAACTAATAAGCAGCCTGGCTCAGGTTCATTTCGGTTCCAGGGCCCCAATTCATTCCTCTCCACCTTCAGTTAAGTACAAAGGAGACAAAGTGAGGAGGGGGCTATATTATACAAAACTCAGGATATAAAATATATACTCACACTTGGATACTTGCACACCTATATATAAATACACACATATATTACATATGTATATATATTATTCTCACACAATGTTAATGCACTAAAATGTACATGTATCCCTTTACTAATTGCTCATTCAGCTTTGAATATAAGGCTGTGCTATAAATTTCAGACATATCACCTTGACAAAACAAAGAAGGTCAAAAGGAGCTTACCCAAGAATTTACAGGTAGGGAATAGAGAGGGTCAGTGTCCAAATCAGGGGTCTCAGAGACTAAAATCACCAATCAAGTTAACAACTCTCAAGGGTGAGAGTCCCTTTCTTGCTACATAATAAAAGGGGCTAAGGACAAAGACCCTTGAGCACTGAGCTCCCTACCTCACTCCAATGTAGCTGGTCTATCTCTTTCCTCTCCTCTTTCCAATAAATTGATTTTGTTTCTCCTTTTAAACGTGTATCTTGTTCAGGGTCTTTTCATTTGTTGCTTGCTATGTTTGAACTTCTCGTCTCCCAGAAATTATAATAGGTTGCTTCCTCTCTTCATTGGTAAAGTAGTGCATTTTGTTGTATGTATAAGACCTGCCACAGCTGAGGAATATTGGGCTTACATTCCTAATCCTCCCATACTGAGACTAGTGACCTGGATGGACCCACCTCCAGAGATTTTTCATGCCCCAGATGATACTGTTCCTTTAATTAATGTTATATCTGGACCTCAAATTGTAACTTTTACAGATGAACGAGTCACATTAAATCTTACTTCCCATTTCGTTCACCCACCATTATGTGTCACTGGAAAGCTTGAAGGAAATCATCCCTGTTCTATAGCCAGACCTCAATCCTGGGTGGGTTTCTCCCAACAAAATAGGGCTATGATTACATTAGGCTCCACCCCAATGTCTGGCCAGAGAACCACAACGTATCGTCCTAATCTTCCTGTTTGCAGGTCTAGAGTTGCTTTTCTACCAATTACAGATGGCATGTTTCTTTTATGGGAGACACGCAGGCCCCAGTATGGAATATATACTATTAATTCTGGCTACTTCTTTGTAGATTGGGCACCTATTGGTGCATTCATTGGATTATTTAAAGAATGGGCCAACCTCAATTTTTGTAGTCATGAAAATCAAATGCTTAATACTAATGCAGCTAATAAGATAAACTGGATGGGAATGAGATTTAATTCCCTCAATCCCTCAATATATTTATAAAGGAAAGCCAGATCCCATACAACATACTATTTGGAAACTGAGATTGCCCTTCTTTCCTGGAAAAATATATACAGGAAAAGAAGCTAATGTATCAAGTGGTATAACCAGATTAGTCTTCCATCTAGATAAAATCATTCCCACAGATATTTGTATTTATGACCCTTATATATTTCGCTATGGTACTATTAATTAGCAAACACATTTTTTTCTTGTTTTAATTGTTATTTAACTCACTGTATCAGAATTGGAGACATCCTCAGTTCACAGTCATTATTATGGGCAAGTTGCCTGGTGTGTGCTTGCCTGTAAACCTTATAGAACCATGGTATCATTTTTCTGCCTCACTTTTTCTTTATGCTTTGTGTGATCATTTGATTCATTATGTTAAGTGCATGGTGGGACTCATACTTGCTGGAATAATTTCTTTAGTATTGTTGATTTCCAATACAGTGGTCAGGTCTATAGCCCTGACCCATTCTGTTCAGACTGTTCATTTTATAGATAATTGGACAAAACCTGCTGATAATAGCCGGAGAGTCCAGCAAAACATTGACCTTAAATTATAAACTAAGGTTAGAGTCCTAAAAACTACAGTGTTATGGATGGGAATCCAAATTGAAAGTTTACAACTACAACATATCTCAATTTTGTGTGACTCCTTTGCCTTGTAACAGATCCTCCTATCCTTGGGAATGTTTAAGGAGCACTTCATTAAAACATTACCTTTGATACTGCAGCCCTCCAGAAGGAGGTTCTATCCATGTCTCAATAGACAGCCCAATTTGATTCTCAAGCACTAGATTGGAGCAAATTTACTGATGTGCTTGATCAGTTTAATCCTTTTACTTATCTCAAAGTTCACTTTTGGTTTTATATTGGTATTGGAGGACTTATTTGTTTATTTCCGCTTATCTTGTTTCTAGCCTGCTATAGAATAAGGATCAACCGTCATCTGGAAGCACTCCAACCTCAGCTCACTTTGATGCAGCTGATGCAGTTTCTAAAAACAAAAGGAGATGGCAGAGCCCATAATACTGATTATGTCCAAAACATACTGTAAGCAGTGCAGGCTGCAGAGTTAGATATTTCAATTGGCTTACTTTAAGAAGTGAGTCTGACTGAAGCTATGTGACTCATAGAAGTATCTTATGAGCACTGTGGTAGCGCACAGGTCAATAAGGCCTCCCTGCTAATGACTGCAGCCAAGACCAGACATTGGCCTATGAAGCTGTGGGGCCAATATGAGATAACGTGTAGCTGAAGTCAGAGTAAATAGCACCCAAATTCCATTCCCACAATTAGTGCCTTCATAGCTTGAAGGACAATGCTCTAATTACCAGCATATATTTTGTCTATCTTGCTTGTAATCTGAAAATTCTTTGATGCTTCTCTTTAAAGCCTTGCCTGCATTGGTTTCCATGGTAATTGTGCATACTACATATCTATACACATATTACACCTTTACCCTAATTGATGCATAATAAAATTTGATGGGTGAGACAGGCCAGTGCCTTTTGCCAAAGGAGCATTGGTCATTCCAGTTCACTTTCTCTTTAACTTTGTCTTGAGGTTTTCTTCAGCCTTGCGACACATAATGGGGAGGTGGGGACTAGAAGTTTACTGCAGGGGTCTGGCAGTATTCTACTTCTTAAATATAAACTCCACTAGGGCAAAGAGTTTTTGCCATTGTGTTCACTGCTCATTCCTGTCATATAGACATGGTTCAAGAAATATTTGTTAAATGAATGAAGGTTTATAATACTTTAGAATTTTCATTGATACAAACCACAGTACTGTACTAAGGTGAAAGTTTGCGCTACATTCTCAGCCCTTTTATTCTGAAAAACAGTCTCATTAAGTTGCCCAGGCTGGCCTCCAGCTTATGATCTTCCCGCCTCAGCATGTTGAGATTATTACATGTATGTGCCACCACTCAAGATTTATTTCAGATATTATACATTCTATCTTCAGAAATTCTTTTTTCTCTATCCAGTTTCTCCTTCCATACTTTCCTTTAAATCTCTGAATATATTGAGCACATAGATAATAAGTGTTTAAATTCCTGTTAAATTCTACCATATTTATAAATTATTTTTGTACCAGGGATCAAACTCAGGACCTTGTGATAGCAGGTGTGGCGCCACTGAGCTACATCCCCAGCTCATATTTATAAAATTTTTGAGTGTGTTTCTACTGACTGAATCTTTTCATGCCACTTGGTATGCCTCAAACTTGAGATTCTCCTGAATTGCTGGCATGTACCACTGTTACTGGATTTGGGGGTGCTAGAGTCTCCTTCTGAAGGTGGTTTTCTAGGTTCTTTCTGTCCTGAGCAAAGGATTGTTCAAGACAAGCACAACAGTAGCAAAGTTTTATTAAAGGTAAGAAAAGAAATAGGCTCTGTAGAGTGAGTTTGGGCCAAGTAAAAGTAGGAAAAGAAGTAAACTCTATACGTGAGGGCAGTCCATCGTGCAAGAGAGAATACTGGAAGAACCAGTGTGAACTGCCCTTTTTTTATTACTCACGCCTCAGGGTGACTTCAGGTCTTGTCCATTCTGTTGAAAATCTGCTCAAGATCTCCCAAGAAGTCCATACGCAGGGCTTTGGAAACTGTTGGGTGCATGTGTCCTGTGATCTTGTAATGAACAGGTCACACTTCCCTAACTAACTTTGCCACGCCCTAATCTCCTATCTCACCACCATGAATGGCATCTTTTATTTTTTTATTGGGTGCTAAAATATTCTGAATTTAACGCTGTTGGATCTTGGATTTTGCTGCAGTCTTTTACAGAGTAGTTGACTTTGTTCCAGCAGGCTGTAAGGTTACTCATTGAGCAGTTTGATCCTTTTAAGGGCTTTTGAAGGATCTACACTAGCTTTTATTCTGGGCCTCCAAGTTTAGGTCTCAAATGTAAGTTCCACATGGTCAAGTCTTTCCATTCTGGTTGGTGGGAGCTCAAATGATTGTTGTTGTTGTTTTTGGCGGTACCAGGGATGGAACTCAGGACCTTGCATTTGCCATGTAGGTGTGGCGCCACTGAGCTACATCCCTGGCCCTTCCCTGCCCTTTTTGAGCTCTGTTAACTCATTGGCTTACTGCTCCCCAGTAACTGTTCTTTCCTGGCTTGATTTTTATTCAGTTAAAGATTCAAAGGTACTCCTAAGCAGATTTACAACCAGCTTGTCCTCCAAGTGCCTTAACGCCAATTCCTATCTTCTCAACTCAGAAGACCCTGGGACTCTGTTTCCTTTCCCTGCCTTACAGACTGACAACTGCTTGTAGGCAGTAAGTCAAGGTGATAAAGGGCTCCTCTTGCTTGTTCCTCTTCTTTCCCGTAGAACACTCCAGAGTCACCTGTAGACCACGCCCGAAGAGTAGTTTCATGTACTCTGTGTTTTGTTTAGTTTGCCAATTGCTTAGTGTGGGACACTAAATCCAGACCCATTTCTTCTTGCGTGAAAGTGAAAGCCTTAAACGTCTCATGGGAAATGTAAACTGTCTAATAAATAGGATTTGTTACAGTTGAAAAGCTGTTTCTCTACGATGCTCCTTTTTTTACCTTCTCAAGAAATATTGATGGGCTGGCAGGGTGTGGTGATGCACGCCCGCAATCCTAGCACTCTGGGAGCTGAGGCAGGATGGTGGCAAGTTCCAGTCCAGCCTGGGCATTTGGCGATTTAAGACCTTGTCTAAAATATACAAAAAGGCGAGGCTGTAGTTCAATGAGAAGCCCCTGGGAACGAACACACCAACACAAGAACACAAACACCACACACGCGCGCGCGCACGTACGAAAAGGAAGAAATGCTGAGGTGACGATGTACTCAGACCGCGCGGCCCAGTGCCAGGGTTTTAAACTCAGCCCGTGCTACCTCAGCCTAAAGTCATCCACGCCCACTTCTCTCGCGCGCGCCACCCTCTCTTCCCGCCATACCGGGCGGCAGTTGCGCTGGCGTTCCGCTCGCGTGTCCCCTCTTTGCGCCTGCGCAGCGTGCGGACGCCACACGCTCCGGAAGTGGGAGGTGTCCGCCGGAGTTTGTGTGGCGGCCACCGCGGGAACGCGAGCCGCGTAGTTTTACAATAGAGGAAAGCGAGGATTTGGGGCTTAGTGGCGAGAGTGAACGAGTGTCCGACTCTAGCAGCTGTCTTCTGGTGCGAGAGACAGCATGGAGGATGAACAGAGCAGGCAGCCGGGCGACGAGGCCGTGCGACTGTGTGAGGAGGCGCCGCGTCGGAACCTCGCGGTGAGCACTTGGCCCGCGCCCCCGCCCTGGTCCCCCTCTTTTCTAGGGCCTCGGCAGCAGCTGCAACCTGCGCGCTTTGAGCTGCAGTCGGCCTGGCTGGTTCTCTGTCCCCAGCCCCAGGCCCCTTGTGCTTGACACCCTCGGGGCCGAGTTCCCTCTGAGTGACAGTAAATAAGCAGAAAAGTTCTGTGAGCTGTGGTTTTATAAGCTGGGTGGTAATTCTCTAGATATTCTGTGTTCACTGCTGCTCTTCTCATTTTACCAAGCCCTTATCGATAATCGATAATGTTAGCTTTTAAAGCACTGTATGCCCTAGATATGCCACTTTTTAGGCTTTTTAAAAAATATGAACGTGCTAAGGCAGGATCAGCCAGCCTTCTTCCTCTCAGCCCTAACAGCCTGACTGTGGCGTCCACCTGTTAATTGGAGCTTTGCCTCTGGCTTTTTCAATGATGTTGATATCTCACTGGTGGATCCTAATTACGGTGGCAAAATTGCAAAAACAGTTTTAAAGCTTAGCATTTAATCAGTATAGTTACTCTTGACTTGCCCCACGGATTGTAAATCATCTAATGTTAAAATTGGTGTTTCTCTTAGTAAGAGACACATGTTGAGCACTTCATAAAGTGGCTGTTTGCAAGAGGCTTCCTAGCACGTTTGCTCCTTCTATTTAAGGGCTTTCTAAAGAGTCTTTACATGTTCCCCTTGCCCTCCTTCACTTTTCCTCTTTATGGTTATCTCATTCTTCTTAAGTTGCTACCATTGCAAGAGGCCATCCATGTGTTGTTTATAAGGGACCACTCTTCCATTCCATTTCCGTCTTCATTCTGAGATATATTTTATCAGTAATATCATTAAGTCAGTTTTAAAAATAATGTTCAAAAGTTTGTTTTTAATAAGAGAAGTGTGTTAAATATGTTTTATTATGTTTGAAAGGCTTGAAACTTTGAGATACAGGAGCTTGAAGCTTGGGTCTATGTCCCAAATTGGTTTTGGTGACTGTCATATTTGTTAACTTACTGTTGGATGTTCTTAAATGAGTATACAATTTTTTTTCAATCTCAAGCAGAGTTTTTTGTTGGGATTCAGCTAGTAAATTTCCATCATCCCTGGTTTGAGTTATTTTGTAAACTGATAGCTGACACATTTTTATATTTTAAAAATAGTTTCAAGTTTTATCAGAACTATTTTGGAAGAATTTTAATCTTAAGATTAAATCTTAAAATCTTTTAATCCTAAAATACATTGTGTTTCTATGTTTTTATTTTTCAATGTGAAGACGCAGAAATTGTTTTTTGTTTTTGTTTACTTTTTTTCGTACCAGGGGTCCAACTCAGGGCCTTGCACTTGCCATGCAGGCGCTGTGAAATTTTTTTTTTTTTAATAGGTAATATGGGGTGAGAAAAAGATGTGCATGGAAGGGTCAAAAGGGGAAATGGTTGCCAGACCCATATTAGTCACAAGCTTCATGTCCCACCTTGCTTACATTCTCTGGTCTTCTTGAATGTATGGGTGTTCACATATTTAGTTATTGTACCGTGGTGGAGTGTTTTTGGTTATTTCTTCCCATTTGGCCGTTCTCTGAGGGTGAAGCCCTGGGAGTAAAGGGACAACACATAGCATTACTTTTCCAGTAAATGGGTGTTGCATTAAATGAGAGCTGAGAGTAAGAAATAGTCCCTGAACCATCGATATCAGTTCTAAGCCAGAGACTGCAGCCTGTATCCTTGGTAATCCCTCCTTAATCTGTAATCAGAGTTTACAAGGGGACAAATTATGTGATAAATATGGTAAATTATGATTATGACTAAGTTAACAAACAATATATTAATAGTAAATACCAAACTATTTTTGAGAATTCTGGAGCATAGTTTATAATGTTCCATTTGGAAAATAATAAACTTATAGATGAGTATTTGGAACTTAACATATGTAATTTAAGTCTGCCTGAGAATAGAATTGAGTCACTTTTTAAAATAAATTTTGATTTAAGAAGAAAGATTTATAATATAGTAACTACAGTTCTGTATGTGTAGCTTTTGAAAATTGTGAGTTTTGAAACAATACATTTTCTTTGCTTACAAGGAAGTTTTGAACTAGATTTGTAGTCTTTTGATTTTATGTTAGGCAGTTTCTCTTTTGCCTTAAAATTTAAAATAAATTTTATTAGTAAATGTTTATAGTACATAGTGATTACATTCATGGTACTTGGTATATGTCCATAAAATGTTTACTGTAATTCTTTTTCCTTCCCCTTCCTCTTTCCTTTCTACCCCTCCCCTCCATCTCTTGGTCCCATTTGGTGTTGGGTGATTTCCTTAATTTTGTGAAATGAAGTCAGGTTATAAAATTCTCAGGAAGTCACTGATTTATATGTGCACAGTGCTAATGTTCATTAAAAAACTGGCTCATTTGCAAGTTTTGGAAAATTGTTTAAAGATAGTTTTACAACCTATGAGGGTCATAAGTTGCCATTTACTAATAGCTACTTCTTGGTCTGTTATTAGAAGCCTGCTGTACATAATCTCATATTACTGTCCAAATACTATTTACCATTGCTAAATACCACTTGAAACAATTATACTCTATTTTATAGATAAGGAAACAAGATCAAAGGCTAACAGTATATGGTCAGCTGGGGCTTTGAGGCTCTCTTAGCCTCATTGCCTTTGAGGAACCTTATGACTCAGAATAGATCAGGGTAAATTATATTGGAAACATATCTTTCTTTCCTATCCAGTCCTTTCATCAGTTGCACTTTTCATTGAACCTGTAGCATGAAGATGCTGCAGGAATTTGAATCTTTAAATATAAGTTGTTTGGACTAATTGTAAGCTCTGTTCTCCCCTGTTCTTTTTTTTTTTTTTCTATAGAAAAAGCAACTAAACAGGTTTGACGGCCAAGAAACAAAAGGATCTAAATTCATTACCTCCAATGGAAGTGATTTCAGTGACCCAATTTACAAAGAGATTGCTATTACAAATGGTTGTATTAATAGAATGAGTAAGGAGGAACTCAGAGCTAAACTTTCAGAATTTAAGCTTGAAACCAGGTAATTAAACTTTAAAATTACAAATATAGTACATGCTTGTCTTAGAATATTTTGAGAACACTGAACAATTAAAAATCGTCTTAGTTGGTTATGGTGTATGCACCTCTAATTCCAACTACTTGACAGATTTAGAAAGGAAGATTGCAAGTTTGAGACTAGCTTGGTCAACTTAGTTGGACCCCGTCCCAGAATAAAATCCTAAAAAGTGATGGGATGTAGTTCAGTGATAAAGTGTTTACCTAGCATGTGTGAGGACCCAGCACTGCAACAAATATTTTTAAAAAACTGATAAAAAGACACATCTAAAAACACTGTTTAGAAAGAATCATCTGTACATGAATCTTTGTGTACAACTCTTATTTCTGTCTTTTAGACAAAATAGAATTGCTGAGTCAGATGACTGAGTATTTCAGTGATCTAATGGTCTTAATGATTAGTCATAAGTCTGTTTAAAAGCTTTTTAGTTGCTCATGTATTGAATATTTTTTATTTTCTTTTGGCAATTTGTATTATTTTTAGGTGTATTAAAGATTAGTCACTTATAAGGAAATTTTTTTTGTTTTTCTAAAAATAAAGCAGAATTATAGTATACATTATGTTTAACTGTATATTGAATGAGAAAGCAGTATAGCTTGGTTGGCTGTTTTTGTGTCTTTAGTGAGTTATACACATACTTAAATTTTTAATAGTATTTTACAAAACAGATCACTCTTTTTGTTTTGAGACATGGGATAGGAATGATTTTTGGGTCCAGAAAAATTATAGATTTTTGATGAACAATAGAACTACCAGGCATCAAGAAAGAAATCAACTCTGTAATAGATGAAAATGTATTGTTTCAGGGCACCACTGAATCCTTATGCCCTTCTAAGTACATTCCTTCTCTTTGCTTTAAAATACAACCTCACTACTTTTCAAAAGAGCACAAATAAAATTTTTTTCCATGTAGATTGTCTACATAATTTGTGAAGAAAGTTTGACTTCATTTTCCCCAATTCTTTCTATTCTAAAGGTACAAACCTATAACCTACAGAAGATTTTCTGAGTAAAATTTTTGTCCTTCCCAGGTGTGAAGATCATTTGTTTGCTTTTGGCTTGCATGGGAGATAGAGATCTAGATGTACGTTTACACATTTATTCAACAAGCCCGTATTGAATTCTAAGCACTACACTAGGCATTGAAGTTTTTAAGGTAAATACAGATATGTTCCCCACTTTGGAAATCTCACAGTTTTGGGAATACACACAAAAAAAATCACAAATCATAGTGGCTAGTGCTACATTGGTGGTCTGGCCAAGTGCAGCATGAGAACAGAGGAGAGAGTGTGTCTCTGCAATTCAGGAAGATGGCATTTGAATTGTGCCAGACAGAAAAGGGAAGGAAGGTGTTTCAGGTATAAAGAACTACAAAACGGAAATTCCCATTTGTATGTTTTTTGCTACACAATCTTGCCTCTTCTTTGGCTACTATACAACCATAGTTAATAGAATATGAAAGCATACCCCATAGTTATGCCATTACATTATGTTTTGTCTGTAGTATATGATGTACCAGTGTACAGTGAGGGAGCAGGAATGTTTGACGATGATTAAAAAATGACAGGTTGTTAGCCAAGTTGTGAAGGAACCCTATGCTGAAGTCTGCATTTTACCTTCTAAGCAAAAGAGAGCCACTAAAGATATTTAAGCAGGAAATTGGCATTAGTGCTCAGTTCTCAAGTAAGGTAAAGAATGAAATGAAGGACTTGCTATAATTCAAGAAACTAATGGGAGCCACAGTGGAGAACATTAGGGAGAACCAGATTCTCAATATTTTTCTCAGTTGGAATTGGTAACAATGGTTAGAATTTAGATGTAGAGGACCAAGGGAGTTGTTAAAGATGACAGGTACCATGGAGTTGGTAGGTAAAATCAGTATGGTTTCTCCACCCCACCCCCCAAAAGAAAAAAACAGAAGAAGAAAGGAAAAAAAGGAAGACAATCTAAAGCTGTATGTGACACAGAGGTCACTCACAGTGCCTTGATATGAAAGGAGTCAAGAGATCCCTCCCCTCCCATTTTCAGTAATTTGGAAGATCTCAAACATATAAGGACATTTGGTTAAAAGAACCGATTGGCTGATTATCAGTGTTTCTCCTAGGCAAGACCTTTTCAGTGTTTCATTGGTAGCTTAGAACAAGCTGTGTATAGCACATACTTGAAATCTCAGCATTCTGGGAGATTGAAGTAGGACAATTGCAAGATGGAGCCTAGCCTAGCCAACTTAGTGAGACCTTGTGTTTAAATAAAAAGGGGCTGCAGATGTAGCTTTGTGAAGTCAATGGGTTCAATCCCCACTACCAAAAAAAAAGGCTAAAAAGAATAGAAAGAGGTTTTGTTGTTTTATTTTTTTAAGTCACTAATTTGACTAAGTGACCAAAATGACTCACTTGACACTAATAACAACGTACATCTTTATTTTTATTACTGTTTTTATTTACAGGCCAGTATAGGGTTCAGCCAATTAACACTGAAGCAAGTCTGAGCACTGGTTGTGACTTCTAGGTTTATATACCAGTATATTGGAGAAAATGGTCCTCTGTACAATAGTACTTTGGTTCACGAATGCTTCTGTTTGCAAACAATTCAGTTCACAAAAGCGTTTGGCAGATTTGCTTCCGTTCACAACTATATCAAGTGACAAACACGACCATGGCAATCTTCCCCACACAAACACAAATGCAATAATTTTCCCCACAATGGTAAAACAAGTTCGTAAACCAAGGTAGCACTGTACTACTAAAATGAAAAGTTACTTGTGAAGGAAAATATTCATGTTGTAATAATGTTTTATATTTATTAGTTTGTTGCTAACTTATCTTTGAGTTTTGATTTCCTTTCATTTATTTTAGCTAGCGTTTGGTAAATTATGCAGTGACTGTCAGTGTTCAATTCAGTGCTCACAGGTAAGAGTTGTGATTCTTGACTGTAAAATTCACCTTAGTAAATTTTATTCTTCTTTTACTTAGAGGAGTAAAGGATGTACTAAAGAAGAGACTGAAAAACTATTATAAGAAGCAGAAGCTGATGTTGAAAGAGAGTAACTGTACTGACAGTTACTATGACTACATTTGTATTATTGACTTTGAAGCCACTTGTGAAGAGGGTAACCCACCTGAGTTTATACATGAGATAATTGAATTTCCTGTTGTTTTATTGAATACGCACACCTTAGAAATAGTAAGTGAACTGCTATATATATATATTTTTTTTTAATTTATTTTTTTGGTACCGGGGATCGAACTTGGGTCCTTGCACTTGTGAGGCAGGTGGCGGAACCACTGAGCTAAATCCCCGGGTGAACTGCATATTTTATTTTTCACAGTAGTCATTCCAGTGTTCTCTAGTAAGTTGGATCTCATTTTCATTTTAACTAGAATTAAAATTCTTTAGTGAGGGGCAGGGATTTAGCTCAGTGGTTTTGCTGCCTGCTGCGCAAGCACAAGGACCGAGTTCGATCCCCAGTACCAAAAAAAAAAATTTTAAGTGAGCTTTTTTGCTGAACTTTCTATCAACTTAATTAACAGGAAAACCAATAAAGCAATTACAGAAACTGCTTCTGTCATATGCCAGTAGCTAAAATTACAGGTTTTTTTCCCCGTTTGCTTAGAATATCTGTGTGGACATTGGAATCTCTTGAGAAGCCAAAAGAAAAAAGAACAAAACACTGATTCCTGGTCCTACAGATACTAATTTAGTTGTTCCATGGTAGAAAATGCTTTGAAAACTTTTCAGGTGGTGTAATATGCAGTTAGGATTGAAGACCACTACTGTAGACAAATGTGTACTCCGATCTCAAAAGTAATGATAATTTACAAAAAAAACCTGGCTATGTTTTTTAATTTTTTTGAGACGGAGTCTCGCTATGTAGTTTAGGCTGCTGGCCATCTTTCTGATGGAAAGTTTATGGGAGAAACAACTCTGTATAACCATTTCAAAGTCATATATATGTTTTAGGTAATTACAGTCACTGCATTCTTTTTTTTGGTACCGGGGATCGAACTTGGGACCTTGCACTTGTGAGGCAAGTGCCGAAACCACTGAGCTAAATCCCTGGCCCTGTGGATTCTTAGTTTAGGAAGAAATGATTTCTCCAAAATACTGATCTCATCTACCAAAAGTCATGTCTTTGATATTCATGTTGCAACAGATATACTGGCAGTAAGTATAAGAAGACATCATGCATGAAAATGCATAGATTTTTTTTTTTTTTTAAATGTTCAAAGCCTGTTTCATTTTCATTCACTTTGTATTTTATTGTGACTATATTGGCTGGGAAAAGGAAGGAGTCACCAATTATAGAATTACGCTTTTCTGTTATCTTCAGACAGAATTAAGATAGAGTTTCTAATTGTGCTTATTGAGGGTATAGAATATAGATCAGTGCCAGAAGAGGTTTACTCCTGGCTGATGTGGGACAGGGACTGCTGGGAGAAAGGCAGGAAGTTGGTGTGGAATTGTCATTGGAGTGTTCATATTCCAGGGCTCCCATTGGGGTATCCAAGAGTCCTCCATGAACATCACAGTGGGAGCAGTCCACAGTGGCTCCTCAAAGGGAATGGGGATGCCATCATACTGGGGCTGGTACCTGGGAGGTAGGACAACAGCATCTTCCCAGAGAGGACCTGAGACTGCACTGTCGTTCCGTGTATATCCCAGTATCCTGTGTATGGCCTCTCCATAAGGACATGGCAAGGGTTTGCTCCTTGGCTTCTCATTGGCCTCACAAATAGTCCAGTATAAATCCTGCAGACTTATCAGCAAGTGGAAACACTTTTTCCAATTTTTCCTTATGCCTCTGTGACTCAGACGTTGGGCAATTGCTTTTGACATTAAGTAATTTTTTTTCTTCACTGGTACATACATTTCATGTTCAAGAAATTCCCATTCTTCAAGGAAGCTTTGGATTTCCTGGTCACTCCATGGTTGAATGAACTGATTTGAGAACTTTTTTGGTTCTTGGTTTTCTTTTCTCTTTGTTTCTTGGCTGTTTTGGGGGATTTGGGTTGAAATTTCTGATACTTTCTCCATTTTTATTGCTGAATTTCCTCCTGAGAGTCTTCACTGAAGCCACAAGATCTGCACCTAATGGAATCAGGAGAGTCAGGAGATGCCCATGTGTAGAGATATGTTTGGTCCTCTCTGCTTCCCTCAGTTTTTCTCCAAGTCTCTTAGTTATATTCATGACCAGCCTCTTTCTATAATTTTCCCATCCAAAGAGGATTAAAGATCAGTAAATTAAAAGGAAAAGTGGCAACTATGAAGTCAGATAATCTTGTATAACTCACTAGATTTCACTTATTCAAGGACATTGCTTTAGCAGCTCTCCCCTCTCTCATTAAGACTATGATTTACTTCTTTCAACTATGTTGTTCTCATAATGTGCAAACATACTATTTTTCTTCCCCCCGCCCTCTTTTGGTGGGATTAAGTCCAGGAAACACTGAGCTACCTCCCCAGCCTTTTTTTTAATGTTTTAAATTTGGGGACAAGGTGTCCAGGTTACCCTTGAGTTTGTGATACTCCTGAGTAGCTGGGATTACATGTAGAATTCTAATCTCTGTAATTGCCCAGTTCAAACTTCATAGTCACTCTGGATTCCTGTCTCTTTCACATTACACATCCAGCCCATTAGTGATTCCAGTTTGCATCTGCATTCCAGATAAATACAGAACCCAGTCACTTCGCTGCTGTGACTCCACTCCCCAATCATTTCTTGTCTGATTTACTGCATTTGCCATCTAATAGGTCTGTATATTTCTATTTTGGAAACCTTACAACCAGTTTCAACATAGTGATCTGTGTAATCATTTAAAAATATGAATGATGTTAGTGTGGTGGTGCACGCCTTTAATCCCAGTACTTGGGAGGCTGAAGCAGGAGGATTATCCTGAGTTCAAGGCCAGCCTGGTCTATGTAGCAAGAGCCTGTCTCAAAAGAAGAAAAACAAAAATCGTGAACCCCAGTGTGGTGATACATACCTATAATAACAGCACTCTGGGTGACCAAAGCAGGAGGAATGCAAATTCAAGCTCAGCCTGTGCAGTTTAGCAGTTCAGTGATTTAGCAAGACTTGTCTCACAAAACATAAAAAATAAAAAGAGCTGGGGATGTGGCAGACGTCCTAGGTTCCAAAAAAAAGGATCATTTCATTTCATTCCTGTTACTCAAAAATTTCCAGACTTGCTCCCACCTTATTTCCCAGTGGTTTAACTCTAGTTTTTTTCCCCTAAAGTATTGCTGACTGATTCCCTCAATCCCAGTCTTTCTTTAAATTTCACCTCTAAATAAAGCCTATCTGGTTATCTTAAAGGGAAGCTTATAAACATCCCATATAGCCAGTGTTTTCGTATATGCTTCTGTGTTATGTCTGGTAAGTAAAGAGCATCTAACTTTGGAGAATAAAGCATTCTTTGGTATTTTTAGTTTTACTCTATTATAGTTTTACCTCTGCAGTACTAGGGATTGAACCCAGGGCCTTTGCACTGAACTATATCCCCACTCATTTAAAAAAAAAAATTTAGTTTAAGGCAGGGTCTCATTAAGTGGCTAAGTTGCCTGGGTTGAGTTTGAGCTTGTGGTTGGAAGATCACAAGCCTCCCAGAGTACTGGAATCACAGGCATGTACCACCACACCTCACCTCTTTTATGATCCTTAATCATTTATAGTTCATCTGCTTACTAGATTGGTGTATAGCATGAATTCTTAGGAAGTATAAACATTTACTTTTCTTAATGTTCAGATGTACCGCAAAATATATTGTCTTTTTCTTTATATCTGACTGGGAGTGATAGTTGCTGCTTTAAAATCTTTATGCTTTGAAATTGTCCTTAATTTTGCTGGATATGCTGGTACCTACCCGTAATCCCAGCACTTGGGAGGCCAGCCTAGGCCACATCATGAGTTCAATGACAGCTTAAACTATATAGTGAGACCCTGTCTCAGCCCCCCAAAAAAGTCCTTCATTTTAGAGAAGTGGCTCATTGTGTTCTGGTTTGGGGAGGCAACATTAGGCTAGGAGAAAAAGCATTTAGAGATCAGACCCTGGTGACAATACTGGTCTTACTTAGCTCACAGTTTTGTGCATAAAACAGACTAACATGACAGCTTCTGGAAAAGCTTTAAAAATGCTATAAATAGCTGGACGTGGTGGTACATGCCTGTGGTCCCAGCACTCTGGGAGGCCTGAGGCAGAAGGATCAGACCCAGTTCAGACCCAGTCTGGGCAGTTTAGCAACTCAGCAAGAATTTGTCTCTAAATACAAAATATTAAAAAGGATTGGGGATGTATCTCAGTGCAAAAGCCCAGAGTTCTATCCGCAAGTAACCCCTTCCATATTTGTATAGTATTATTAATCCTTAATCTACTGTATACCATTCAGTAAAATTTTGGCTATTTAGAATTTAATTTATTTGAATCTTTATGAAAATGAAGTACTGAATTTTCTTCAAAAGAACTATTTTAAAAACTCTTGTATTCTTGAAGTAGAGATTGCATGCAATAGGTTTATAATTTTAAAATAGTATAAGCAAAATTATCAATGTTTTGCTTCTCAGAAATATTTAAATTTTGATTTGAAGGCTTGGTTTCATACTCTTACTGTATATTAAATTTTTAAAATCTTTTTTCTTCATGAAAAAATAAATTTTCATAACCAAATAAGAGAATAACAGCAGTTAATACATTGTGTATTGTTTTCTTCAAAGTAGATACTCAGTACAAGACATAAACCAAAAAGATTCTTAGAAAAAGTTTTTAAACTATGAAACAAGTGATTTATTTTTTTTAAGCCAGGCCTGAGTGATTGGGCATGCCTGTAATCCCAGCACTCTAGGAGGCTGAGGCAGGAGGATTTCATGTTCAGCCCAGTCTGGGCAATTTAGTGACCTAGCATCACCCTGTCTCAAAAAAGAAATAAAGAAGAGTTGGAGATCTAGCTCAGTATGAAGGCTCTGGGTCCAGTCCTCAGTCCCCCACCTCCCAAAAAAGTAATTTTTTTAAAATTGAAAAATAAGAGGGGTTTAAGTGTGGAGAATTATCCTTAAAACTCTGGAAAGATCTGTGCCATGACTGAATTTGTTACATAAACTACTTTAAGATGTTATCCTTCTCTTGTAGGAAGATACATTTCAGCAGTACGTGAAACCAGAGATTAACACACAACTTTCTGATTTCTGCATCAGTCTTACTGGAATTACTCAGGTAATAATTCTATTTTCTTTTTGCTAGAGTTTAAAAATGGCATTTAAATTAAGGATTTAATTTACAGATTTTAGTTTAAAACATTGTCATGTTCAATTTAGTGTGGTATTTTTGTTGTTTGGTAAATATCTTTCATATTATAATAATTTAAAAAAATACAGCCTGTTGTAGTGGTGTGTACCTCTAATCCCAGCTACATGGGAGACTGAGGTGTGAGGATTATTAGAGCCCAGGACTTTTTGAGTCTTCTCAAAAAGAAAAATAAAAAGCACATTTTACATGTGGTAACATTTTACCCAGCCTTTCCCTTTAAAGAGTTGTAATGATGCATTTAAAGATTCCATTTGTAAAGTGGTAACCTGCACTACTTAGTATCTCTTTACAGCCCCTCCCTCTCTACCTCCTTCCTTTCCTCCCTCTCTCCCTCTCTCCCTCTTTCCCTCTCTCCCTCTCTCCCCTTTCTCTTTCCTTCCCTCCCTCCCTTTCTACCTTCTTCCTTAGTCTAGGTTATCCTGAAACTTAGAATCCATCTGCCTTAGCTTCCTGAGTGCTAGGATTGCAGGCATGTGCTACTATGTCTGGCTACATACTGACTTTATATATAACTTTATTGTTACTATTTTTAGGCTATAGTTTTTTGTTGTATTCAAGCATGTAGGTCTTTGGTTCAATTATTTATTTCCTTCATTTATTCATTCATTCCACGCATAAAATTTGAGAGCCTCCTATAATATACCAAGGAACTAGGGATTCAGAGACAGTCAAGTCAGCCTTTATCCTCAGCTTTCTTATAGTCTATAAGCCAGGAGGAGAGACAGAATAAGCCAGTGGTCATAGTATGGTTAAGAAGAGAGACAAGTAGTGACAAGTCAGTTTTTTATCAGAGTATTCTGGGATTCTATGAAAAAGTCTGTGTCTTAGCCACTTTTCTCATCACTTGGCCAAAATACCCAAAAACTGCAACTAAAAGGAGGAGAGGTTTTTTTTTTTTTACTTACAGTTTGTAGAGGTTTCAGTCTCTAATGACCTGGCTCCAACGTAAAACGATGTGGTCAGACCTGGATGGAGGAAAGCTGTTTGCCTTATAGCATCCAGGAAGCAAAGTGAAGACAAGAGCTGGAAAGGGAGATTATACCCTGCTAGGCCACACCCAATGACCTATACCCTGCTAGGCCACACCCAGTGACCCACCTCTCCTGACAAGACCCTCCCTCCTAACAGCAAGTCAGCTGGAAGCCCCTATCATCCAGACACCTTCCAAAAGCCCTGCCAGTGAGCACATGTGGCTGTTGGGGAACATCTAGATATAAACCATAATACTCTGCCCCTGACGCCCAAAAGACTTAGGCACCTATTTATGCAAAATGTATTTAGTCCATGTCTAAGAGTTTCCAAAGGTCCTAATAGTTCTGGTGCTAAAAAGTCCAAGTTCAAAGCCTACTCTGAAACTTAAGGCAGACTTTTTATCTGTGAGCCTTTGTAAAAATCAAAAAAGTTAAACACTGCCTACATATGATGGCATAGGGTAAATATTCCTGTTGTAAAAAGAAAGAAGAGGGAGATAAAAGGGTATGGAACCAAAGAAAGACTGAAACCCAGCAGGATAAACATTAAATCCTGTAGCCTTGTCCAGCACCTGGGGCAAGATGTAAGATGTGAACTCCAAAGGGCCTGGGCGGCCTATCCCTACAGCATTGCCAGTGGTTGTAGCCCTCCTGGCTACTCTCTTGGGCTGGCTTTGCTCATTCCTTGAGGCTTTCCTCAGACTTTCTTTGTTTTTGGCTTCTCCAGCCTTGTGGTGTCTCCGCTGCACTTTTGATGTCACTCTTATGTATTGCCTTCTCTGGGTCATACTGCCTGGCCTTCCAGGTTTTCTTTTATTTATTTATATTGTTGTTTGTTTGTTATTTTGTTTTTCAAGACAAGGTCTCACTATGTAATTTAGACTGGCCTTGAACTCACTATGTAGCTTAGGCTGGCCCCAAACTTGCAGTGATCCTCCTGCCTCAGCCTCCAGAGTGCTGGCATTACAGGCATGTGCCACTCATGCCCAGCTTCAGGCTCTCTTTTAAAGTCTGAGTAGAGGCCTCCCTACCACCACAACTGTTGGATTGCGCATATCTGTAAAATCAGCACTATGTGGACGATGCCAAAGTCTTCTGTCAACTTGAGCAATAGCCAGGCTTCCTTATATCATGTCTGCAGAGGCCTCCATGTACTTGGAACTGAATCCTGGGGAACAAACTCCATGGGCAGTGGCATGATGGTGACACTGTGCTTTGGTGTTCTCTTCTTAAAACAGTCTTTTACTTTTGCAACTTTGAGCCTGTGAAGAATGAGGCCCTGTTGGTTCCTCGCATGCCTTCAAGGTATTTTTTCCTGTTAGCCTGATGAAAATACTTGGTTTCTTTTTAATGTTAATCCTTTTAGCAACCAAGCTTTTCTCTGCTCCATCTTTGCAGGCACTTTCTTTCTGGCAAGACCAAAAACTTTTAAAATGGGCTTTTTTGCTTCTGATTTTCAGTATAAACCTCAGTAAGCCCCTAGTAGTATCTGTGCCACAACCCCAATGTTGGACTGCCTTCGAGTTTCCTGATCTGCTGCCCTTAATTCTAATCTGCTGCCTTAATCTTTAACCTGCTGCCCTTAATCATAGTCTCACACATGAGCAAAATGTAGACAAATTTTCTGCCAGAGCATAATATACATGGTCTGGAGTCCAGCTGCCAATGGAGTCCTCCTGAGCCTGGCCTTTTCTATCTGCATTTTTAGCAGTACTCTGATCTTCTGAGCTGTAACCAGTATCACACATGAAGCTCAGTTTACAGCATTCTAGAGTTCCTTCTCCAGCTAGCATCTCCAAACCTTTCCAGACTCCTGTGAACCAGTTTCAGAGGTTTCTGAGCCTTATGGTGAGGTACAGACACAGCAGTGACCCCAGTCCCGGTACCAAAATCTGTGTTAGCCCCTTTCTTGTTGCTGGGACAAAATATCTGGCCCTTACAACTGAAAGGAGGAAAGGTTTATAGTTTGTAGAAGTTCATTCGCTAGTTGCTGACTCCAAGGCAGAAGGGCATGGTGGGTCAGCCTGGGAAGAGGATAACTGTTTACCACATGGCATCTGGGAAGCAGAGAGGGTGAAGGGAGCTAAGGAGAAATAACCCTTCCAGATCACGTCCTCAGTGACCCACCTCTCCTGACTAGACCCTACCCCCTCACAGCAAGTCAGCTATAAGGTCCCATAATGCACTCTGCTTCCAAAAGCCCTATCTGTGAGCACATGAGGCTCTTGGGGGGACATTAGATAGAAACCAGAACAGCTTCAGTATGTGACAGCTGTCCTGGGACAAGCTTCATCATGTTGGTTAACTTGGCCCAAGTCATGATAGGCAAATAGGCAGGAAAGAAATGATGAGCACATCGTGTGTAGAATTACCATAACTACATGGAGCTCAGGGTGGTCCAAGTGTGTGGGGGAGAGAAAATGGATGAGGTAGGCAGAGACAAACCAGAACAAAGGCTCTTACATATCGTTTTATCCAGAAAGCCTTGGAGAGAGGAAGACAATTAGAGTGTGAGTGATTGATAGGTCAGATTTACTTTTTAGGAAACCTAGTCTGGCAGCATTGTGTAGTGTGGTGTGGAAAGGCATAAAATTTGAGATACAGAGACCACTTAAACAGCTGTGGTTTTCAGTTGATAAGAGGTTCCCATTTTCTCTACTATGAGGAATCAGTAAGCCACTAGGTTGAGGACTTCTAAAAAGTGAGCCACTGAGGGCCAGGTGTAGTGGCAAAGACCTGTAATCCCAGCACTCAGGAAGCTGAAGCAGGAGGATCGGTGAGAGTTCAAGGCCAGCCTGGGCTACACAGTAAGTTCAAGGGCAGCCTAAGCTACATAGCAACACCCTGTCTCAAAAATTAAAACAAAAAACAAAAAGTGAGCCACTGAGGATGATCTTAAATCTTAGATTTTTTAAATTTTTATTTTGAAACAGGGTCTCAATAAGTGGCTAAGTTGCCCAGGCTGGGCTCAAACTTTCGATCCTCCTGCCTCGGCCATCCAGACTGCTGGGATTATAGGCATGCACAATCACGCCTGGGAATAAATAATTTTTAATTGTCTTAAATGAAACTAGGTGGTAGGTGGATTGAAGCCTGGAAGATTATGAAGAGTTTTCATGTTGTCCATTTTCCTCCAGTTTATGTCTGGGTGTCTTATAGGACTATAAGTAGTTGCCCTGATATTCATATCTTTCGTTTTTATATCCTCAGGATCAGGTAGACAGAGCTGACACTTTCCCTCAGGTACTGAAAAAAGTCATTGACTGGATGAAGTTGAAGGAATTAGGAACAAAATATAAATACTGCATATTAACAGATGGGTAAGTACTTAGGAAAATTAAAAAATTACCTTTTCAAGATTCTCTAGTTCATTTAACTTTTAGAATAATCATCGAAGTATTATCTATTAAAGATTTTGTGATCACCCACTAGAGACAATATTTTTCCTTTTATATTTCTTTTCCTACTTAACTTGAATCCTAGAGATGAGATAGAGAGCGCTAGTAACAGTCTAGTGTAGAACTTAAGGACTGGAAAGATAAATATTAACATTTGAAAATAAAATGACTTTCCCCAAAGCCTATTTTTATCATGACATTTGCTTGCTCACAGAAGTCTTCAGCTTAGCATTCAAGGTTCTCTCATTTCATCCTACCTGACCTATTTAGCCTAATCCACCTACCATTATTTCTTTCTTTGATAGTCAGGCTGCCCATGAATTCACATGATTTATGCTTCCTTTGTGTATTCCAGGATTTCCTCTCCAATGAGGAGAGGACTTCCGCACAGCTTATCATCAAAGTCCTCCTGTGTTTTACCCTGACATTACAACCACATTGGTCTTTTTTTCTTAAAGTCTTATATATAGCCTTATGATAAGTACAGTTCTAACTATATATTCTGCTATCTTCATGTAAGTAAGCTAATTTTTTTTGCAAAGAAATTAAAAATCCTCTCAGACTAAAGGACTTGTACTACCTGGTAGTCTTCCATAAATGAAAAGCTAAATGAGTATCAGAAAGATTAAAACAGGGATTATAGGCATTGTTTCAGGTCATCTGTATCATATGCCATTAAGGTTGAAGAAGAAAGTCTTAAAGTCTTCTGTTTTGAATTGTAGACAGTTTGTACTCTTTATCAACAGAGAGGTTTGTGTACCCACATGCAAGAGGAGAAGAACATTGAATTCAATCATATCATAATTTTTAGAAGTGTGTTGCTGATTTTCAAAATGAGTAGGCAGTGTTCCTGCTAACATTGACGGATATTTTTGTCATAACAGTATATACAGGTATAAAAATCCTCATATTCTGGGACAGACTGTTCAAAACCTGTGTAATTTTGTAATCAGAGCACTAATAATAAGCGATACTTCTTGAAATAATTTGGACAACTCAGGCAGGCAGCTTATAGTGGGTGGCATTTGCTCTAGGATATTGAAAATGCACAGAAACAATAGGATCCTAGGAGCAGACATCATTTATTTGTTTGTTTACTTATTGTGGTACTGGGAATTGAACCCAAGGCCTTTCTACTGAGCTGTATACCCAGCCCTTTTATTTTTTATGTTGAGACAGGGTCTTGCCAAGTGGCTAAATTGCCCAGGCAAGACTTGAATTTGCAGTCTTCCTGTGTCGGCCTACCAGAGTACTGGTGTTATAGGTCTGCACCACTGTGCTCAGCTTAATTTTCTTTTCTTTTTTTTTTTTCTAAATGGTACCAGGATTGAACTCAGGACCTTGCGCTTGCAAGGCAGGCACAGTGCCACTGAGCTAAATCCCCGGCCCAGCTTAATTTTCTTAAAGTACAATTGAAAGTATTCCTGTTGTCAGAGTAAGCAGCAGAGTTGAGGGCTTTCTTTTCTACTGAAGATTATAATTCCTGCTGCTGTTCTGACTCCTTTTGCCTAAGAAAAACCATGCATAAACCAATACAATTTCCAGATTACACAGTGTGGGCCTTCTTGACTATAATAAGTTGATTGGTATTGTAGAAATATGTACTGTAGCAGAACAGGTTATATTTTAACCCCTTTTTCTATAAGTTTAAAAAATTTATGGCATTTGTTTTAGTTGAAAGTGTACCCTTAAAAAGCTTACTGATGGCATTATATATTAGCCTAGCAGTTACTTGAGAATTACAAAGAAACACTCAGCAAGGTAGAAGCCTGCCCACGTATCAGAACTGTAAAAACATTAAGGATTAATATGTCCAACTTTTTTTTTTAAAAGCTTATTTTTGATGTATTTGGTAGGGAATAAGGTTAATTATCTAAGTTTATTGTGTACATATGAGAAGATTAACATGGAAATAAAAAAATGACTTAAAACACTTTATTTGTAAGAATAATACAGCATTTTATCCATCTTTTTTCTTGTTTTGGTTTATAAGTTCATGGGATATGAGTAAGTTCTTGAACATTCAGTGCCAACTCAGCAGACTCAAATATCCTTCTTTTGCTAAAAAGTGGATCAATATTCGAAAGTCATATGGAAACTTTTACAAGGTAATATTTCTATATTTAATGATTTTACTCTCGATAAGTTTGCTATATTTTTCATGTACATTAAATTGTAATTTTCTGGCATTTTTCACAGGAAAAGGCCATATAATTGTTACTTTTAATCAGAGTCTAACTTATTTTAAAGTTAGAAGGATGAGCCTTTTTTCTCAACCTAGTAACTTTTTAAAAAATAGACCATATATATATACACACATATACGTATATTCACATTTATATATACACATATACACACCACCTATATATGAGAGAAATTTAGGATGGTAAAGGTGTACATGTCTTTTGCTTGTGAAACAAATGCTGAATTTTAATTTTATTTTCATCAAAGTTATTACATATTTTTTGGTGGAGTGGTTGAGACAGAGTCTCGCTGTGTAACTCAGGCTGGCCTTGAACTCACTATGTAGCCCACGCTGGCCTTGAACTTGCGGTGATCCTCTTGCCTTGGCCTCCCAAGTGTTAGGATTACAGGCGTGCACCACCACACCAGGCTCAATACATCTGTTTAATGTACATTTAAAAAATAATGCTGCAAGGCTTATAACAAAATAGGAAACTTCTGCCACAGTCTTCACCAGAACTAGTTCCTGCTCTTGTGAGGCAGACACTTTTGAACTTCTTCAAAAGCTATTTCTTTACATGTTAAGCTTTATATTTCTAATTTGCATGTTTATTCTGTTCTTGAAATTTTAGTTTGAAATATCTGTTGAATTTCTACAGTGAAAAATGAAGGTCTAGTTCTTAACTCCCAGCCCCTACATGTTCTTCCCCACCCTGAGTCTTTCTCATATGTTCATATTACCTTTATAGTCAAATCTATACTGTGTTTATGGTCCGTGACTATGGAGAATATTTATAACTTTTCTCTAGATTTAATACTTAACCCCTTTTAGTTACTTACCCTGTTACTCAAACTGAATATCTGGTCAGTACTTAAAATACAGTCTGTTGGTTTTTCCAGGACTGTGCACCTGGATCCTTTAATCGTGTTCTCATCCGAACCATTTGTTCTTCAGCCTTCTTCTCACATCACCCTAGGAGATTTCCTTGCCTTTCTATCACATGTTGGATCCTGTGTCATCTTCCTTTTCCCTTTACAATTTCATTTTGGTAAAGCATATCTTTAAGAAGTGCTTTCATGAGAAAAAGTGCTTTTCCTCAAAAACTTTTAAAAATTGTTTTAACATTTTCTTAAAACTGAGAAATAGGTATATCAAAGAGTAGGGTTTGACAAATTTTAAAAAACTGAATAATTCCCTTGTAACTTCTACCAACTTAGCCCCGTTTCTTTCTTCTGAAGCTAACTGTATGTCATACTTTCATGGTAATCATTTTCTTGCTTTTCCTGACAGTTAATATTTATATGTCTATCATTATACCATATAGTTTGATTTTTGCCTTGTTTTGAACATGATATAATAATACATTACACTGGCTTTATTATTTATTTTGCTCTTTTCCTTATTCTTCTTGAGATCCAGCCCTGTTGTGTATACAGCTGCAGTTCATTCACTTTATTGCTCTGTAGAATTCCATTGTGTGAATATACCCATTTGCTTATCTGCTCTACTTTGGCTGGCCATTTGGGTATTTTTAGCTTGGGGCTTTGAACAGTGATGCTATAAACTTTCTTGGTTGTGATTTCTGGTGCCTTTGTGTACTCCAGGGCACTTCCTCTAAGATATAAACCTAGGAATGCAGCTGGTGGGTCATAGGTTACATGCATTGTTCACATTTTTATATAATGGAAAAAAAATCATTTTTCCAAAGAATTGTACCAGTTTGCAAACACCAGCAGTGCCTGAGTTTGCAGTTGGTCTGTGTCATTGCCAACACCTGATATTCTACTGGTAGACTTTTTATTTTATGGTTAGGAAAGTTTTATTGGAAATAAGGAGAAAGAGAAAAGGAGTGGGAGAACAGCTCCCAGATTTTTAGGAGGGGTCCCAAAAGGTGTGGCCCATTGGTAGACATTTTAAAATGTAAATATGGTAGATATTTGATGGGATTTCACTGAGATTCTCACTTGAATTTGCTTATTACTCATGAGGTTGAACTCCTTTTTCCATGTTTATTAGCCATTTTGACTTTTCTCCCTCTATCCCTTCTTTTCTTTTGCTCCTGTTTGTACCCATATTTAAAAAATTGGTAGTCTGTTTTTATGTTATTGGTTTATATATCTTTATTTTAGATGCTAGTTCCTTGATTATCTTTGATACTTTTCTTCTATTCCTTTTGTTGTGGATTCTCCTTTTCACTCATTGTTTTGTTGGGTTTTTTTGGTCATGGTCTCACTATGTATTCTAGGTTGGCCTTGAACTCCCTGTATAGCCTAGGCTGTTCCATTCTCCTGCCTTAGTGCCTTGGGTACTGGGTGTGCACCACCATATCTGGCTCATTTCATAGTTGGTTGTTTTTTTTTTTAATTTTGTTATAAGAACTTCCAGACATAATGTAGAAGTAGAAAAGCTTAATGGACCCTCATGACCCAATTTTAACAGTTACAAATTCACAGATAGTTTAGTTTTACCTATATTACCACTTTTCTTTAATACTTTGAATCAAAAAACAAGCATCATCTCATCTGATGTGTAAATACTTAATTATATATTTCCCAAAGATAAGGGCTCTTTTCTGAAAACATAATCGTATGAGTATCACATCTAAAAAATTAATAATTCTTTTATTGTCTTCTACTTGTCATAAATATCATATTTTCTTTTACTTTTTAAGTGTTAAATTAGCATTAGTATAAGCTTTACACATTTGCAGTGGTTGATATGTCTCTTGTCTTTAGTTTTTTAAACCACAAATTCCATTTTCATCTCTTTTTTTTCTCCTTTGCAATTGGTTTACTTTTTTTTTTTTGGTACTGGGAATCAAACTCGAGTCCTTGCACTTGCAAGGCAGGCAGTAGAACCACTGAGCTAAATCCCTGGCCCTTGCAATTGGTTTACTTTTTTTCCTTTTTTTTAAAGAAATAGTTATTTGTCCTGTGGTGTTTCCACTCATCTGGATTTTGCCAGTTATATACTTGCAGTGTAGTATGAAACTACCTAAATTTGTACTTAAGCTTACGGTTTGATCACCTTTAGATTCTGTTTTTGCTAAGTTCCAGATGATGGTGCATTCTGAAATTAGGACATTCTTTCTCAAACCTATAATTTAGAAGAATAATTTATTTAAGGCTTAATTAGATCTTAAAATAATTTTCAGATCTGCATAAAAATATAATACAGAGCTGGATATGGGGGAGCACACCTTTAATCCCAGTACTCTGAGAGGCTGAGGCAGGCGGATCTTAATTTGAACCTAGTTTTGACAAGTTAGTGACTTAGTGACACTCTATCTCAAAAAATAAGGCTAGGAATATAGCTCAATGTAAAAACCCTGGATTTAGTACCTGAGTACTAAGCAAACAAACAAACTACAGCTCGCAGTACATTTATTTAATTATTAAGTTGTAGCTATAATGCAATAAAATTCCCAGTGCTGTATTAATAGATGAAATTTTGGCCGGTTTATTAGCCTGTTCTTGTGTGTGGTATTCGCCTCTTTATATGCTAACTATAATGGTTCCTTCTGTTGTAAGTAGAAGGAACTTGCATTTTTCTTCTTAAAAAAATTTCCTTCTGTTTTGTGGTTTGTCTTATCCAAGAAAACCTAAAAGTTCTGTTACAAATTTTGTAATAAACACTCTTAAAATTAAACTCTTTCTGCTTTACTCTGCATGTTTGCTAACAAAAAAGACTTGCTTACACATGCAGAAAGTTAGAAAATGCTGTGAAAGGTTCACTACTTTCCTCCAAGCCACAGGATACTCATGTAGAAATCCACAGATTTCTGGGGCACAGCATTAAGTCTCACCTCCAAAGCTCTTTTCTGAGTCAGATTTGAAAGTTGAGCAGAAGATTCAGAGAAAGGATCTCTCACCCTGTCAGACTGGTTTTGAAAGGGAAGATAATTTTCTCCTATAGTTTTTTCAGATTGTTTTCAGTAAGGCTTATTTTTCCTATGAAGCCCAAGCAATGTGAGCATTTAGTTTCCTGTTGCAACATATATTATTTCCAAAGATTCTGTTTTCTTTGAAATCCAAGAATTTTTTTAAAAATTTGAATTAAAAATGTTTAAATTTAATTCTAGTACATGTTTGCAGTACATAATGATGACATTCACTGTAGGGGATTGGTACATGTACATAACGTATTTCAATTTCCTTGTTTTTCCCCTCTGAAATCCAAGAATCTTATCTTGTGAAGTCAGACCTTTTTCTTCAGGGTCTTTTAGGGACTTGCCCAACTGGTTTGTGAAGTAGTCTGGGTCTTGCAGCTCTTCCTCATACTGCTCTGGGAATTCTGGCCTCTTCTTTTCCTGACATTCACCTTATTTCAGTCCCCTTATTGAAAACTGCCAATACCTGATTTCTGGCCTCTGTTTTTCCACTTGAAATCATATTCTTAGATGCCTTTGATCCCATGGAAAAAATAGTTTTAGAATTACCAGTAGAGAAGTTGTTTTGTCGCTTTCTTTCTCTCTCTCTCTCTCTTCTCTCTTTCTTTCTTTCTTTTTCTTTCTTTCATCTATTTATTTTTTGGTTTCTTATCAGATAGCTCTGTAAGCACATTCTCTGTGTATGTGGTGTACTGGCTAGCTATCTTTGGCATCATTATTACATGTTTGATGTGGGTAGCACACAAGGATTTTGTCATGACAGTATAGGCCTCAATCCTGCAAAGTATCACTATGTGCTCTGGAAGTGTAGATCTGTTTTGAAGATCGAAGTAATTTCTCATAGCAGATGCTGGAAGAGGAATTTGCAAATCAGAAGTTCAGTGGGCTTCTGATAATGTCTAATTTCACAGAAGGCCACAGTATCAGGCCTGTAAGGATGAAGTGTTTTCATCTCTGGTAGAAGGTGCACTTTTGCAAATGGTTTTTATAGCTCATTGCTTCCAGGGTGTGGGAAGTCCACTTTGTACAAGCCATGGTATAGAGAGACCCACTTATTCATCCCTCTTTTTTTGGTACCGGGGATCAAACTCGGCACCTTGTGCTTGCTGGCCCAGCCTAGCCAGTTTTAATCAGGTTATTTTGTTGTCGTTATTAAGTTGTAGGAGTTCTTTTATTGTAGGTGTTATTTCCTTATCAGATATGTTACTTGCAAATATTTTCTTCCATAGGTTGCCATTTTACTCTATTGATAATGTCCTTTGATGCACAAAGGTTTTTAATTTTTGATGAAATTCAGTTTTTTCTTTTGTATGTTTTATCCAAGAAATCATTGTAAAATCCAATGCCATGAAGCTTTCCCCTGTTTTCTTCTAAGAGTTTTATAATTTTAGATCTTAAATTTAGCTCTTTGATCCTTTTTGAATTAATTTTTGTATATGGTATTAGGTAAGGTTCAATTCATTCTTTTTCACACAGATACCTAGTTTTCCCCACACTATATATTGACAAGACTATCTTTTCTCTATGGAGTGATCTTGGCACTCTTGTTGAAAATCATTTGGCCATATATATGAGGGTTTATTTTTGGGTCCTCTGTACTGTTGCATTAGCCTATATGACTATCTTTATGGCAGTACCATAACATTTTGATCACCATAGTTCTGTATTAAGTTTTGAAATTAGGATGTATGAGATCTCCAACTTTGTTCTTTATCAAGATTGGTTTAGCTATTTGGGGTCCCTTGCAATTTCATATGAAATCTTCAGATGGAATTTTCCTTTTCTGCAAAAAATGGGGGATTTTGATATGCATTTCGGTGAATCTGTGAATCACTTTGGATAATACTGATATCTAAATCTTGAAATCCATGAGTATTGGGTGTTTTCTCATTTATTGGTGGCTTTTAAAATTTCAGCACCATTTTCTTGTTTTCAGTATACAAGTCTTTAGTCTTCTTAGTTAAGTTTATTCCTCAATATTCTTTTTGATGCTATTTAAAATGTAATTTTTAAAAAAAATTTGCACTTTGGGTTGTTCATTGTTAGTGTTTAGTAATACAGCTGATTTTTGTGTATTGATTTTGATTTTGTACCTTTGCTGTATTTGTTTATTAGTTCAAACTTTTTTTGTACTAAAAGCTTTCCCACATTGTTTACATACATAGGGTTTCTCCTCAGTGTGATTTCTTTCATGTATTTTACAATAATCTTGTGTAGTGAAAGCTTTCCCACATTGCTTACGTACATAGGGCTTCTCCCCTGTGTGAATTCTTTCATGTATTTTACAGTAACGTTGTGTACTGAAAGCTTTCCCACATTGCTTACATACATAGGGCT